TTCTCTATTTAGCAATGTGTTCTCTCAAAAAGAATAGATACTTTTTAATCGGTGAAAAAAAGGAAAAAATTTTGCCGAATAAAGAAACAAATCCCGTGCGACAATCTTTTTTTTTTTTTTTTTTGAAGAAACAAAGAGAAAAAAAATCTTTATTCTACTCACGCTCATCAGTCTTTCGTCATTCTACGAATCGACACTTTTTTGTTTTTTTTGTCAAGGAGAAAGAAAGAAAGAGAGAGAGAGAAAAAGATGAAAATCTAATGACAAATCGAGGTAATTTTTTGTTTTTTTATTTGCGGAAAATAATTTTTATTCGGATGCTATTTTTATTTGGAAAAAAAATTTTCAATGGAAACATAACCTCAAAAACGGAAACGAAAGGGGGAGAGAAAAAACTAACCTATAAAGTGTCATTTTTTTTGGCTGAGAAGCAAAATAGGGTTGTAAAGTTTCATGAAACTTTGGAAAATGAAATGTTTCATGAAAGTTTCAATGCTTCATGAAACATTTCAAAGTTTCAAGTTTTAAGCGGGAAATTTCAAATTCAATGCAAGAAAGTATAATAATTAACGCATATTATTATCGACAAAAACATGAAGTATTATTATTTACTTTAATATCTTTCTTTAATTTTTATAAATAAAATAAATAATTAAAAAATATATTAATAATTTAATTTTAAGTCACTCGTTAGAGGTAATATTTTAGGTAATTTTTAGTTAATATTAACATAACTACTCTCGTGTTTTCGGATGTAAACAAAAAATTTTCATTAAATTGTTTCGAGCTAACCTAAAATTTCTAGAGATTATCTAACCTGAACTGACAACTGCGCATGTGCAAATAAAGCTTAATTATTGGTTCTTCAATGTTTTATGAAATTAATGAAACTTTCGCTTATGAAACATTGAAACTTTCAAATGAAAGTTTCATTGTTTCAATGAAACGTTTCATCACTCACAACCCTAAAGCAAAATAGGAAAATCGGAAAAATTCATAATATTGAATATTTCGTCTAAAATATCGCAATAATAATAATAATAATAATAATAAAGCGAAATAATAATAATAGCAATATGAAAATAAATAATAATGATGATAATAGTATGAAAAATAATATAATTATTTATTCGCCCGACCAACCAGAGTCAATAGTACAAAAATAAATAACAAAATAATACAAATATTTTCCTAGCGCAAAAATTGATAATAATTTTCATTTAGACAATATTTAAATAACGGGGAATTTTTCAATTTTCCCTGCAAATCAAAGAGAGCAAAAAAAAAATCATCAAGAAAACAATTATTTGAAAAAAATATAATATTTTTTTTCGCTCGCTTCGTCTGGGCGTTTCCATTGGCGTCAGAATCATCCTGTATTGGACCAACTGTACCTCTCAACATCTCTCTGAGTTTGCGAGGGTATCGATCTGATATCCCCACCAGTGCGGGGCCAACTTGCGCGAGACAGTCTGTTGCACCCTCTTGCAATGAAAAAAGGGGGAAGAGATTCAGAGAGGGTGAGACAGAAAGAAACACACGCATATACATATATCTATGTACATATATATATAGAGGGGTGGGTTAAAACTCGTTTGAAAAATTTAGAGGGGTTACTTTTTGATGTGGCACATAGCGTATATAAAACCATCTATATATGACATTAATTATTATCGATCGACTAATTACATTTCCTCAATTCCAATCTTTGAAAAAGGAATAAAAAAAAAAATACCCTCTCCGTACCATTTCTCTCCCCTCTTTTAATATATAGAGAATTTGGATTTATTCTTAGTTCATTGATCGTCTTTTTCTCCACCCTCTCTCAACCCCCGAAGGTTCTCTCTCTCTCTCTCACTCTCTCTCGATCGGTAAAGTTACTTTTTCCTCAACCGCGGCTCAAGGTCATTTAGGGTCATTTACTTCTCGACCATTTTTGCTTTTCCTATCGCCACGTTGACAATTTTTTTTTCCCCCACTTTTCGAATCTCAAGGTCAAAAATTTAAAAAATTTCTCTACTATTTAAAAATGACATTTTTGATAAATTATTTTGTAAATTTAATTGAAAAATATTAAAATTTTCTAAACTTAACAATTTTTTTGAACTCGAAAAGCAGTTTCGACTTTTTTTCTTGCTTTTTCTCATATTCCAAATACCAGAGCAAAAAAGGGAGGGGGAGAAAAAAAAATGCGCGTATTGCTTTGGTGTTTGGAGTGAAAAAAAAAGTCTTAAATTGCTGACCATAGCACGAGACTTTGTCTGCGACATACTATCAAAGTCTCGTGAAAGTGGCTAGAATGTGTGCGGGAGCAGCTTCCTAAAAAAAAGAGAGATAGAATGCATTACATGGACATCGACTCATACAAGACAAATCCCGCGACTGTTTTAAAGAAAACGATGAACAAAAAAAAGAGAAGAAAAAAAGTGTGTAAAAGGTAAACGTTTGTGTACATGTGGTTTTAACGTGCACGAGACCGGGTTTAACAACACTAAGAGCACATGGTTCAACAGACTCTCTTTCATTGTTGCTTTTCATTTTACACATTTTTTTTTTCACTATTATTATCATTATTATTTCTTATATATATTTCCACATTCACGGGAGTGAGAATCTTTTCAAATATTTTCTCATTATTAGTTAATTTCTAAAAATAATTCAAGTGGCGAAAAAAAAATAAACAGTGACATTTTTTCCTGTGGAAAATAAAGGAGTAAATAAAAACTGTCGAATTTTTTTCTGGTGAGAAATTAATATTTGACAATTTTTTCTGTGGAACTCAATTTACTTTTTGTGGAAAAAAATGAATAACGAAAAACTGACAATTATTTCTCTGTGGAAAAATTTACAATTTTCTCTATGAAAAATAAATTAATGAAAAGAAAACTCAATTTCCCTTATGGAAAATAATAAATAAGGAAAAAGTAATAATTTTCTCTGTGGACAAAATAAATAAACAATACTGTCAATTTTCTTTATAGAAAAAAAAGTTAATAATGAAAAATTGACAATTTCCTGAATGTCAAGAAAATAAATAAATATAGAAATTGATTTCCATTATGGAAGAAAATAAAAAGAAAAAACTGAATTTGCTGAAAATTGCAAAATATTGATAATTTTCTCAGTAGAAAAAAAATAAAAATTGATAATTTTCCCCTGTGGGGAGAAAATAAATAGGAAATAAAATTTTGAAACTCGCGAATATTCTCCATTTCCCGCGACTGTTTATGTAAAAGGTGTACGTGTATATAAATCGTAGGCGTATATTATAAAACTTCTCGCTTTCGCTCAATTGTGCGAATGAAATTAAAAATTTAAATTAAAAAAATAATAATCAAACACCCACGCGCCCCTATCAAAACAAATCAAAATACATTTGTATTATATATACAAGACAGGAGAAAAATTGTTCGCAAAAAAAATTACACTGAGAATTTAATTTCTTTTTTTTCCACCCGAATTAAAATATTTTTTGGTCTGGTCATTATCAACCGCCCTTGAAAATTAATGAAGGCCAGCCCTCTTTTCACATCTTGAAACTCGCTGAACCAAATTATTTTACAAGCCGGAAGCGGTTTCTTGGGTAATTTTAAAAAGAGCGTCAACCTGAACGAAAAGACGGAATAACAATAAAAGAAGAGAGGGGAAAAAAGATTAATAACGTGAAAAATTGCGCGAAATTTAGGTCGCTTTACAGAATAAAAAAAAAATAATGCAAGGACACGAACGAATAAGCAAAGGCGAAAAAAATGCATCGGGGTATATTTCGGTTAGGGCCTGTGTGTTGGATATTTCCTGCGGTGGGCATATGGCGAGGGGTAGAGTTCCCAGAAGGTTCCCACGGTCAAAACTTTTCCTGCCTACGGCCTCTCTCATTGCTTTTGCCAAGAAAGAAAAGAGAGAACATTCTCATGATCTTATTTTTCCAATATGAAAAGTCAAATTTGCAAATCAGTTCAAATCACTTGTAATCATCAAAAATTCAGAAAACTATTTTTACCCCTAGAGAAATTCTTAAAAATTTCTTATCGAAAAAGTAATTCAATAATTCCAAAACTATTTCGAAATTAAATTGATAAAATTTCTTGTTGAAAATGATAAAAAAAGAGGAAAATATATTTGAGACAGCAAATATCGATGAGGTATTAAATATCACATAACAGTGAGTATTGTTGAAAAAATAATATCGACTTGTAAACGTTATCACACCTCTAACCGATTGCATGAATAAACAAAGAAAGGGGGCAATAGTACTACGGATTATCTAACCGATTAAAGACACTTCACTTTTTTTCATCTGAAAAAAATTTCCCCACCAAAAAAAAAAAATCTCACCTGTCACACGAAGACGAAAAAAAAATTTTCCCTAAAAAAATCAATTTTTGTAAATCTTTTTTTCCAATTGAACCAAATAAATAATAAAGAATATATGTGAAATTCAACATGACCGGAAGTCGCGCCATAAAAAACGGCCGGTCCTTACTTTTTCACATAGCCATAAGTGCCTTCCCGCCGAAAATTTCACGGAACGAGACAATGGAATTTTTTACGCCCCACCGAATTCACTGTACGAATGAGAAAATACAAACGTGGAAAATACCCGAAAAAAAGAACGCGAAAACAAAAAAATTGTTCTAAAAATACCGGCACGCCGGTAAAAATGGATAATATGTAAATTCACTCAACACACATTAAAAGGGTGTACGATCAATGTCAACACGACATTCTCTCTCTCTCTTCGAACTTATATGACAATAACATCAACAATAACACTCTTCACATATATATATATATATATATAGAAGAAATGAAATTTTTTTTTCTTAAAATCAACATTTTATAATACACACGATGAAAAATACGTATTCCCCCCTATTCGCAATATACAGAAAGAACACTTCGGAAAGCCAACAGGCCGGCGATGGATGATTATTTTTGCCGCCGGTTTTATGATAAAATTAATCACACGAATGAAATAATTCAACAAAAACAGAACCTACCTTGATAATGACGAGCCTAATTGTTTGTCGTCTATGAGATCAGATATCACTTTCACACATATATTTACAGGAAAATTATGCGACTTTCGGCAGCGACCATGTATAAACGGACATGTATAAACGGCCCTCTTTACGGAACTGACGGGCAGACTCGTAGACAAAGACCACGCACGATTTCAAATCCCGTCATGTTGATTGGCTCAGCGAGGTCACGTGACTCTCTCCGATTGGACGACAGTCACAGGGTGTGCGACTGCACATGGCCGACAAAATATTTTTATTGTTGTATACTCGTCACTTTTATCAAAACACCAATGAATTTAACATTAAAAAAATGGGGAATTAATTTTTAAAAAATGGAAAAAATTCCCACTTTCATTAATTTTTGTTTAGATGAGAATTTTCAACATTGAGGATATAAAGCACCTGTCATTACCCCGGCACTCCCCGAAACAAAAATGGCCGATTCCAACACGAACTTTTCATAAACACTGAAATTCTCAACTTTGGAATTATTATTTTATTTTTTCACTTAGTGGAAAATTTGTGAATTATTATTAGTAATGATTGGTGAGTGATTTTCAGGTTAAGTTCAATTTTGTTTGTAAATTTTAATTATGACAGGATTTATCGCGGTGAAAGAAGATGGACGAGTCCATTTTCACATTGGAGGGGTGGGGGGAGGATTAAATAAGAATGGACCACACTGTCTCGAACGGATAATGGCGGGAAGGCACTAACACAATTTCATGGACACGCGCGCGCGGGAAACGCACACATTTTCATCGTTGTAAAGGCCGGAAAAAATACACGCGGTCACTGTCACGTTTATTCTCGCCGCTTTTATATATATTCCCCGACACACTGGTTATCATCGAATCAAACAAATTTCGCGGAATTCAAACTATGAATCCAGAGATTTTTCTCTCTCTCACTCTCTTTCGCTCTTTGGGTGTCTTGTGGTAGAGATTTTTCTTGTGTTCAATTATATATATATGTATATTTTAACTCTGGTAAAAATTATATTTTTCAACAATTGATAACAAATTTAACGTACTTATTTATATGCATTCTTTTGATATGTAATTCATTAAAATCAAGCGACGATTTTTCCAAATAAATTCCAAACTGTTTTTGTTTTCATCTTTGGTAAACTGTTAAGATTATTTTCTTCTTCTTCTTCGTAAAAATTGTCCATTCATCGTAGTGTCAATAAATTTCTTCTAAATTCATTGATTTAAACGATATTCAATAATTTAATAACGTGCGTAAAATTCTTTAAATAATTAACAGAAAACTTCCAATTAATATAAAACTTTTTCGGCTTTTTCCTCTCTTTTCAAAATCTTTTAATGCTTGTTTGTAAATTAATTCTCTTGTAAAGTATTTTGATTTTTTTAGTCTTCTGGGTGCAGTCTTTGTTAATATTCGATTAAAATATTTATCAGTAATGATTTTTTTTTCCTTTCGAGTTTTTTTTTGTGTATTTTTTCTTTTTGTTATAAGAGTAATTAGGACGTAATCTTTGGACTTTAAAGTCTATTTAAAGCTTACTATCATAGCACTTTGTTGAATTAATATTAATTTCTGGTTATATTTTGTATTTCTTTTTGGTAATGAGATTAATATTTGTTTTGTATTCTTCTTGTTGATTATATAAAAAATACTCGTTGGGCTTCATAATTTTCTTTATACATTGGCAATGGCTGGGATAAGTTTCTCGTAAATTTGTATTCCACGTAAAAAGACATCCTTGTTTAGAAATTCATTATTGTCGTGTAAAAGCACTGGTGTATTGTTTATTGGCGAAAATCCGATTGCAGGAACTCCACACTGTAAATTGAAAAATGGAAAAAAATTAGTTTATTAATTTACTACATTAATTGTATTATTTGTACTTGTATTTATTTATTTACTGTTATAATATTACAAGTACAAGTATTGTATTTTTACTTTTCAATTATTTTTACATAAATTCAATTCAACGATTTCCAGATTGGAATTCAATAATTTTAAAGCAAAAAAAATTCAATTCGAAATATTTACAATCACTACTTTATAATTATCAATAATTTAAAAATTTGAATACTTCAATATTTCAATATTTTAGTATTTCAGTATTTGAATATTTATTTTGGCCAGTAAGTAATTATAGTATTTTGACTATTTATCCTTTTATTTTTAGGGAGATGAAGTACGAAAAATATTTGAATTTTGATTAAACTAAGAAAAGAATTTCTTTTTTTATTCTCGAGAAAAGAATTTGTTTACAGTAGTAAATGAAGCCTTTAAATTATTGTTCCAAATAATTTTGTTACAAGAAATAGTCGAATATGTATTCGAAAAAAATTATTCTTAAGTTTCGAACGTTCAAAGGAACGAAATATTTTTTATTTACAATATTTTCATTAATTACTGATTGCGAAAAATTCATAAATTTAAATTTTACATTTAAAAACTTTATAATTAATTTTTCTGAAAGTGTAACCCAAAATTATTGTAATAAAAATTGAAAACTTAATTTTTAGATTTAAAAACTTTATAATTAGTTTTTTTGATAGTGTGACGCAAAATTATTGCAATAAAGATTGAAAAATCAAACTTTACACTTAAAAACTTTATAATTAGCTTTTTTGATAATGTGACGCAAAATTATTGCAATAAAGATTGAAAAATCAAACTTTACACTTAAAAACTTTATAATTACTTTTTTTAATAATGTGACGCAAAATTATTGCAATAAAAATTTAATTTGAAGAAGAAATAAATAAATTTCGTTTATTTGAACGTTCGGAACTTTAGAATTGCGGAAAAAATTAATTTTATTTAACTAAAATAATAATAATAATAAATGAAATAATAACAAAATAATGATAATAATAATAAAAACAACAGTAACAAAAATAAATAAGAACAAAATTAATAATAATAGATTAAGATAATAATCATAAAGGCAGATTTTTAATTAATGATTGAAATTTTCGATACTGATTGAAATTGTTATTGAATGTAAATTATTTCAATATTTTAATGTTTTAATATTTCAAGACTTTAATGTTTTAATATTTTAATAGTTTAATATTTTAATATCTAACATTAAAAATTGTTAGATGCTGAATTTATTTATATCTTATCTAAATTAAAATTGGTTAATCGAATTGAAATTAGAAAAATGATGTTAAAAATAAACTTACAGATCGAATGTAACGACTATCAGTTCCACCGGTGAAAATTCCAGATTCCAATGTTAATTTATTAGTATCGCAAACATTTTTAAAAGCCAGCCAAAATGGATTTGTTTCATCTAATTTTGTATTTTCCACAAATGGATTTCTTTCCTCAAAACTATAGCTAATCCCCTCGCCAGCTTCATGAATCCAATTTTGAATCATTTTTTCAAATTCCTCATGATTAACGTCAGTTGCAATGCGAATATCAAAACCAACTCTCAATTCACTTGGTATCACATTCATTTGGACTCCACCCTGAAAAAAGATTATCAATTAATTTTTTCTGTCGATGAAAAGAGAAAAGAAAACGTTAAAAAATTGTTTTATTTAGTTTTTTTTTTGGTTTTTACTTTAGAGAAAATTGCAAAATATTGTGCTTTTTATTTTGTTAGAGGAAAAATAGCAAAAAGATTATATTTTCTGATTTTTATTTTTTAGGGAAAATTGCAGAATATTGTGCTTTTTATTTATTAGAGAAAAGTGTAAAAAGACTATTTTCTGATTTTTATTTTTTAGAGTAAAAATTGCAAAATATTGATTTTTATTTTTTAGAGAAAAAATTGCAAAAATATTGTATTTTCTGATTTTTATTTTTTAGAGGAAAAATTTGCAAAAATATTGTATTTTCTGTTTTTTATTTTTAGATAAAATTTCAGAAAGATTGTTATTTTTTTAATGAGTTTCGCAAGAAGAGGGAAAATTATTGCTTACCAATTTATATTAATTAATCCTAATGAGAAACAGACATGGAAATAGAAAGAGCAATACTATTTAGTTGGATGATAAAAGTTGTAAACTTAAAAAAAATTCAAAGTGTGGATAAGAAGAATGTTTATAGAAACAAATTTTTCAAAAAAAGAAAGAAAATATTTATCTTACTTTAAAAAAATTATAGTTCACCCGGGTATTAAAGAAAAGAAAGAAAAGGGACAATTTACAGGAAATTCGAACATAATTTTACTCAGGTTTTTAAATTGAAAAAGAATATTATCTGAATAAAATAAAATAAATAATAATAATTATAATAACAATATAATAAACGTAACAAAAATAAAAGCTTAAGATTCAAATTAAGTTCTTATTAAATTATAAAACTTTTTACGGAAGAATCGGATGGACAATAAAAATTTAACATTTATTTTTGGTTAGAATCAAAAAAGTGTAACTTTTACACTTGACATTGTTTAGTAATTAAAATTTGCATTCGAATGAAGATTTAATAATTTCTAATTTGCAATAATTGTGAAAATTCGTTTTCTTTGATACGAAAATTAAAACATTTTATTCAACAGACTTTTTTATTAAAGAAAATAAAAAGTTATTTAAATAACTGAAATTTGCATTCGGATGAAGATTTATCAATTTTTATTTTACGATATTTGGAAAAATGTGTTTCTTCTGTTACAAAAATTAATAATTTTTATTCAAAAACCCTATTTACTTGAATAAAGAAAATGTTATTTATTTTTAATGTATAAAATAAAAGAAAACATAAATATAAATAAAATAAAAATATAAAATATAAGAAAGAAATTATTTATAACGTCTCGATTCTTCCTTAAAAAATTCTGCGGTTTTTAAAAATTAAAGAACTTATTTTCTTTCAACTCACTTGGACTTGCGTCAAATTGATAGAAGTAACATCTCCAATTTTCAATTTTGAATCACGCAATTTAGCCTTTTCACTTGCTCTGAATTCCATGAATTTATCAATAACTTTCATGAATTTTTCACCAACAGTATTGTCGGGCATTAACGAGCCATGTCCAGGTTTTCCCGTGCATTCAATCCAAACGTGCCAAATACTTCTCTCGCCGTAGAATATAAGAAAATTATCATTTGGACTCGCCATTCCCTCGTCGAGGGCAAAGCCGACATTTAAATTTTTGAAATCCTGAGTTTTAATGAAATCCTTCATTCCAAGTCTACCGCCCCTCTCCTCATCGGGCACAAAAGAAATATGAACAGTTCTCTTGAGACGAATGCCGTTCAACTTTAAACGTCGTATGGCTTCCAAGTATTGAATATTAATGCATTTCATGTCTTGAGATCCGCGAGCATAAATATTCCCCTTCTCGTCCACGTGGGCGGAAAATGGAGGGTACGTCCACAATTCCTAATTTAAATGGGGAGAGAGAGAGAAAGAAAAGGAATTAATAACATGAAAATAAATTTATCGACTATTTTTAGACTATTTTATTTACTAATAAAATAAAAATACTTTTAGTATTTTTTTTTACATTGAAAAAAAAATTTAAAAAAATAAATTTGAATTTTTCTTTATTCTCGTTAATAACAAAAGATTTGTAAACTTACAGGAAAAACAGGAACAACATCCATGTGACCATTCAAGAGTATGGAGGGTTTCTCCGGTTCCGTTCCTTCCCACGTGAGCACCAAAATTGGATTCTTTGGAAAGACTTCATATTTTCGGACTGGTAAGTCAAGAGACTTTGCTTGTCTTTCAACAAAGGCGACACATTCATCTGTGGAAAATATTTTAACGTTAAATTCGAAACAAGAAAATTCTATTCAAAAGAAATAAATTTTTTTTTTGATAAAAACGTAATCTAAACAAGAAAATAAATTAAGAAATCAAAATAAGACAATAAAATAAATAAAGAGAAGCTGAACAAATTGAACAATAAAAAATAAAGCATAAAAACAATAAAATATAAAAATGGTAAATAAAAATAATAAAATAAAAATAGTAAATTTAATAAAAATAACAAAGAATAAAAATAGTAAAAAGTAAACAATAAAAATAATAAACAGTGAAAATAATAAACAAAAAAATGAAGAATAATAAAATAAAAATAGTAAATAAATAAATAATAAACAGTAAAAATATGCAATAAAGAAAATTAACAGTAAAAATTTAGTAAACAATAAAAATAGTAAAAAAATAATAAACAATAAAAATTTGGAGTAAAAAAAATATTTAACAGTAAAAATAATAAAGAATAAAAATAATATATCAGTAAAAATAGTTAATAATAAAAATAATAAAGAAAATGAGCAGTAAAAATTTAGTAAACAATAAAAATAGTAAAAAATAATAAAAAATAAAAATTTTGAGTAGAAAAATATTTAACAATAAAAATAAACAGTAGAATAGTAAACAATAAAAATAATAAAACAGTAAAAATAGTAAATAATAAAAATAGTACAAAATAATAAATAGTAAAAAAGTAAATAATAAATATCGTAAAAAATAATAAAAGAGTAAAAATAGTAAATAATAAAAATAATACAGAAAATGAAGAGTAAAAATTTAGTAAACAATAGAAACAGTAAAAAATTATAAACAGTAAAAATAATTAAATAGAATAAAAATATTTAAAAAGTAATAAACAGTAAAAATAGTAAATAATATAAATGGTAAAAATCAATATACAGTAAAAATAATAAAAATCGTAAACAGTAAAAATTATAAAAAATAAAAAACAATAAAAATGTTGAACGGGAAAAAATTAAACATTACAAAAACTTAAAACAATAAAAAAAAATACAGTGGAAATAAACAAAAATATAAACAAATGAAAATAGAAAAAAAAAAAAAATTATAATAAACATGAGAAAAAATAATAAAAGGCAGTGAAAAATAAAATAACTTTGGATAAAAATACAGTAAAAACAATGATAAATTAATATTGAAAATTTATTACAGAATAGACAAAAGAATTAGTAGAAAAAAATATAGAAAAACGACGAAAATTCGAACAAAGAGGAATAATTCTAAAATAGCAAAGAGGAAAAAAAGTAAACATTTACTTTGAAAATTTAGATATTTTAAGACTAAAAATTATTGCTAAAATTAAAATGTATAAATTTGCAATCGCAATTAATTTCATATCAATTTCTAACAATTTCTTAACGAAAATTTGAACCATTTTTTTTTAAATTCTCTGATAAAAGGTAATTCCCAATTTTCCATTAAATTGTAGAGAGTGATAAATTCAGTGCGTTTAAAATCTTACATAATTCCCAGCACGATAATGACTGTTCAATTTCCATTAAAGTACACTGAATGACAATGTAATTTCAACACAAATCACATATGTGTCATTTAATCCTTTAAAGCAATCAAATTGTAAAGCAGTCATAAAATTTTCCATTCCGGAGCAAAAAAAAAGAATTTACAGAGAAGAAAAAAAGAGCCATGTAATCTAGGAGTTTTTACGCAGGTACACGACAAATGAGTCATAATTATTTGTCAATAACTCTATTATTATATTTTAAATGAGGTAATTATTATTGAGGTGTGATAATCTCCCTTCTAATATAATATACACTGTAAAACATTGCAGTAAATGTTGAAAAATTTTGAAATATTTCTTCAATGATAAAAAAAAAGAAATCTTATCATTATAAATATTCCGAAAACAAATGCAATCTATTTACTTAAAAAAAAAAAATAAAAAGCCAAAGACATTTCGAAATCCTCACCAAGAAATCATGTCTGACATATTGATCAGATTCTAAGTGTATGACGAAATTTGTTTGATGATGATTTTATTCCAAAGACAAAATGAAAAACGATAAGATGAAATTGAAAATTTATAATTATATTAATTCTTTATTCAAAAAAAGGGGGGAAAAAATTACCTCACGATTCACGTTGGTAACAAGCGTCATTTGATTTCTCTGGTATTTCCAGAGAAACGCCCATCACAAAACGCAGCGAAAGTACTTTCCGTAAAAATATCGTCTCTCGTGCAAGATGTTGCAGGCAATGATAGGGCTCACTTTATCGTAAGAAAGAAAAAAAAAGTCCCGATAAGAGAGAGGTAGACACGTAAGAAAATGCGACGACAAGCGATCGACAGGTTTCATGTGCAAGCACACGAACAAAACTTGTTGTTTAAAGGGCTCTAAAATCGAGGTCAAACAATGAAATTAAAAGACAATTCTTTAACAACTTCCATTAAAAGTCATTCACCACTAATCTATGAATTTGACACGATACGAAATTTTGTAAAAATAAATTTTTCACTCTGGGTGGGGCAAGACAATGGCTATGGATAGCGTCTCTGACGCTTTGATTTTTCACTAAATTTTTTACAATTAATAATATACACTTAAATGTCAATTTTAAAATATTATTTACAAGAGCAGCCCCCTTTTCTTTAAATTAAACTCGATTTAAAATCCCCAATGTATAATGTCAATAAAAAATAATTTCAACTAACAAGGAAGCGCGTCGTTGAGAAACGACCCCATTCACGTACGCGAACACTGCAAGTATGTTTTTCCATCGCACGATTTATCAATTTAAATTTTCACATTACACTGCCTTTAAATAATTTGAAATTCTCAAGAATAATGGAAATTTTATAAATCTTTTGATAATAATGACTTACCATAATTGATGTTGGGATGCACTGAGGGAATTCGCAAATATTCGCGAAAATTCTCTACAGCTGTAGAATCCAGCTGAAACAGCTGCGTCTGGTTAGGTGAAGTCATGATCCTCGCGTCAGACGCCGTGCTCGAACTGACAGCAGACGATTTTCTACTGTCCAATAAAAATCGTTCATACCGCGTGACGTATTATAATTTCCGCCAATCAAATACAAATTTCTTACCGCGGGGTCACGTGTGCCACGTTAAATAAACTGCAATCATGGTTTTTAAAATTAAAAAAGAAGTGAACAAATAAACTGTCAGATGTGTTAATCTTCTTTTTTTTGTGGTATATTTTAGAATTTTTTGTTAGATAAATCATTACATGAGGATTTAAAACCACAATAAATAACAAATAATATTCTTTATTCATTTTTATTGATTTTTTTTTCAACTTGAAAAACAACATGATTTTTTTGAGGTTATAATTATCATATGGTGATTAAAATGTCACAATAACACTTTATAAAATACAGTGAAATAGAAATAGTTTTTATTTTTATACTTATATGGTAGAAATTTACAGATTCTTAAATTGTTACAAAATATTTTTTGAGGTTATAATCATCATATAATCGGAGACAAAATCTAGTGATTATTGTGAAAATGGAAAAATTATCGAAAACGTTTATAATAACAGGTAATATTGAAAAGAAATTAGAAATCTAGTAGAAATTTACTCCACGTTGGCTAGATATAATTTTCACGTATATTTTAATTCCTTGGTGGAAAATGTCCTTATTTAGAAATTCATTGTTGCGGTGAAAAATCAAGAATATAAATTCCAATCTGCAAAATTGAATGAAAGATTAATTTTACTGAATTGGAAAATTAATTACTGAATTGAAAAATTATTTACTGAATTGAAAAAGTAGTTACTAAATTAAAAAATTAGTTACAAAATTAATTGCATAAAAAATGAAAATTTGACAATGGGATTATTTTGAAAATCAGTGATAAAATTTTTATACAGAACAGAGATAACGAGCATCTGTTGCGCCAGAAAAAGTAATCAATTCTAAATTTAGATCACAATCATTACAAGCATTTTTAAACGTATGCCAATAAATTATTGTCGTCGAAATTAATTTTTTCGATTGGTGAATCTTTCTGAATAATTTTTTAATAAACACCATCGCCTGCTTCCTGGCACAATTTATTGACAATTGACAGTATTTTCTTCAGGTATCACGTTCACTTGCACTCCTCCCTAAAAAGAAATTTTTACTTAATTAATTTCAACAAAATAAAAAAATTACTTTAACACATAAATAAATTTAATATAAATAAAGAAATGTAATAAATTTTAACTATTAAACTTAATTGAATAATAATTTTAATTCTTTGGCATTTTAATTTTTTTTGTATTTTTTTTATTAATTGTTCTTATCTTTTTTACAATAAGGAAAAATTCAAAAATAAATTTTCTCACTTTTATTATTGTTCTTAAAGAAATAAATCATTTTCATTATAAAATTAATTAATTTTTTGTTATCCTTTTTATAAAATAAGAAAAATTTGAAAAATAGATTTTTTTATTTTTATTACTGTTTAATAATTAATTAACTAATTTAACAATAATTTTAATTAATTCCTTTTGTTAATAAGGAAAAATTCAAAAATAGATTTTTTTTATTGTTATTAAATAAATATTTAATTTAACTGGATGAAAATAATTAATTCTTTTAACTATAAATTTCAGTAATATTCTAAAAATGAATTAATTAGAAACTGAATAGTAAATAAATAAAAACTGAATTTTATTTATAAATAAATAAATAAAAGTTTATCAATAAGAAAAAATTCGAAAATCGACTTTTCTTATAATTTTATTATTGTTAAATAATTATTTAATTGAATTTGATGAAAATAATTCATTGTTTTAATAATAAATTTCATTAATTACTATAAATTAATTATTAAGCAAATAAACAAAGAGTGGATTTTTTTTATTAATAAATTTACTAATAAATAAAAATTCATCAAATAACAAAAAAAACGAAAATCAATTTTTCTTATTTTTATTAATGTTAAATAATTATTTAATTTAATGTGATGAAAACAATTAATTATTTTAATAGTAAGTTTTATTAATTTTATATAAGGAAATTAAAGAAATAAAATAATAAATTTGTTAATAAATAAAAATTTTATCAATAAAAAAAAATTCGAAAATAGATTTTTTTTACTTTTATCATAGTTTAATAATTTTTCAACTTTATTCTATTGAATGAATTAATTAATTGAATTATTATTGAATTAATTAAAAATCGTAATTATTAAAATTATTAGAAATAATGAAAAAACCGTAATAAGTAAAATTAGAAATAATTGAAAACCGTAATAATTAAAATTAGAAATAATTGAAAATCGTAATAATTAAAACTAGAAATAATTAAACACTGTAATTAATAAAATTAGAAATAATAAAAAATCGTAATAATTAAAATTAGAAATAATAAAAAATCGTAATAATTAAAATGAGAAATAAATTAAAAATAGAAATAATTGAAATTGTAATAATGAAAAAATTAATTTTTGTTACAGAAAAAAACATTTGGCTGTTACGAAGGAATTTTCAGGTACGTGCGAAAATTTTCCACTGCAATTTCGTATAAATTTTGATCGGTCGACATTTTTTTTTTTTTTTTGCTTATTATAATTCACGAACAGTGAATAAAGCAAATAAATTAGAAATTGACACTATTTAACTACAATTTCACCGCAACGAATTTCAATTCGTTGAACTAAATTTAACGGAAAAATTATTACTATTAAATTAATACGGAAAAATTCCGTATATTCAACAAAAAAGGAAAATTTACTGAAATCATTGGCGATCTTTTATTTAAAGGCAAATTCAAAAAAATAATTTTTTAATACGAAAAATATTTTTTAATTCAAAAAATATTTTCTATTTTATGTTGGAAAATATTTTCGGTAATTCAAAAACTTGCCGCAGCAGAAAAATACATTTCTTTGAAAATTCAAAAAGGAATTCGAAAATTACAGAAAAAAAAAAAAAAAATTTGTGAATATAAAAGAATTAAAATTGAAAAATTAAATTTGAATGAAGAAAATAACGAATCTGATTGAAAACTCTAATAATTCAAAATAATTTTTCTATTTTATGTTGGAAAATATTTTTCAGGGAAAAAATCTGACAGTTATAATTGAAAAAATTTTCGCAGAAAAATATTCTTAAAATTCAAAAAAGAATTCGAAAGAGAATTTAAATTAAAAAATTAGATTTTAGAAAAAAAAAACGAATCTCGATAAATAAATAATTAATTAATTATAAATAAATAGAAATAGCGAAAAAAATAAAAGAACCTAATAGATAAAAATAAACGTGGCTCAGGTTCGGAAGTGAAAAGAATAGTTTTCTTTTAAATTCGTAAAATGTATTCCGTTTATTAAATTTGTATGCCTAAATATATTCATAATTATATATCAGTGTTTGATATCAGAGAACTCACTTATTATTTAGTACGAATTAAATTATAGTACAATGTGTAATATTAAGTAATAAGTATATATCTAGGCACGTACATATAACAGAAAAATTACAAATAAAAAAATTATGGTGCTATTTTTTTAAAATTGAATATTTATATATATATTTTTATTTATATATATACGTTTATTTATAGCAATCTATATATATATATAATAATTATTATTATAATAATCATCATAGCTAGTATTTTGTTTCTTGTATTTACAACACAGAAAAAACGATTAATTTGAACCAGTTCAGTTTTATGAAACCTTATAACAAATATTTGCTCATTTTTCTTAATTAGCATTTTCGTTCTTTTTTTTTTTTGCTAAAGGGATGACAATCGTACAAATGGCAACCTGGTTGATACGAGCATATATTTTTTCATAGTCTGATTATTATATTTCGAGAAGATATAAATTGCAAGCGAGACATTTTTTTTTTATTTTAAATTTATTCACTAAATATATATTTACATAGAAACTTTGAGGACAGAGGGATAATGATTTAAAAAAAGCTGTACAAAATTTATATTTTATAGCAATTATAGCAACAATGAAACTGTCCTCAAAGTGCGCACTGCGCGACTCGCAAGTTAATTATAAAGTATCGAAATAACACTTAAGAGGCTCGTGAGTTTCTTTTTCCATCTTTTCTCAACGAGAAAATATTTTTTTTCTTTAAAAGAAAAATAACAGGCTAGATAATAATAGTAGTAGTAATAAAAAAATAGAAAAATACTGTCAAGAATAAAATAAACAATGCTTGCAAAATAAAATATTCATTCATTTTTTTTCTCAATTTTATTCGCTTTTTAAATATAACAAAATTTAATTTTTTCTCCGATTTTCGTTTTCTTTTCTTTTTTTGTATAATAAATTAATTTTTCCGATTTTTTTTAAATAGAAGTTTTTCTTCTATCAGAATTTTCTCCTTTAATAGCAAATTTGAAAGTATAAAAAATACCTACGCAATTTTGATAAAATTAATTTTCTTTTAGTGAAATAGATTCACGTGTTTACTCCGTATTTTTTTTTGGTTTTCTTTTCTTATTTAATTTTTCGTATTTTACGAAATAAATCAGTATAAAAAATATTTCTTTCCACTCGCATTTTTCCCATATAAAACAATAATCCCTTTTTGCAATTTTTGTTTATGAAAACATTTTTAAAAAAAATTATAGAGTGACGTGATTTCTATTTTACCAATCAGATTAATAGGGACTGAAGTATATTTTCGATTCTTTGACAAAATTGTCAATTAAAATGTGTTTAATGAGATTGGCCAATACTGCAATAGTTTCATTTTCGTGTTTTTCTCGAGCCGAATAATTAATTAAATAACTAACTTAATTATATACACATGTACAAACGTTTATTTATATTATAATTATGTATAAATATTTATAGACTTTTTTATGTATATACACAATTTTCGTATGTAAATTCATATTTTTTTTGTGTGTATACATTTTTTTTCCATGTTTATATTTATTCATAATTATTTTTTTGAAACATTTTCTTAATTTACTAAGTTTTGCTTAGGCGATATAATTCATGATGCACTGGGTTAAAAAGACGCTTAAATTTAATTTTCTTTTTGTACAGATTTAATAAAAAATATAATATTTCTCCCTAAATTTCTCACAAAAAAAAAGAAAATAAGGAGAAGATAAATCCAGTGTATGTTTGTGGAAAAGTAAAAAAATATGAAAAAATTGCAGCAGTCCATGACCCCGCAAATCTTGTTTTTCACCCTAAAACCAAATATTCTTGTACTTTGTCACGAGAAAATATTTAAAATACTTTTTTTTATTTCTAAAATCGGTGTTTAAAAGAAAAGAGAAAGAGAGAGAGAAACTTTTAATTGAAACTCAATTTGAAATATGAACATATTACGTTTATTACAATAGCGGGGCGCATCTTACAATTGAAAAATATAAAATTTTTTAAAGAATCGGGGGGAGAGAGAGGGACGGCACAGTGCTGCGAACATTTAAAAAAAAACAGTGAAAAGCAGCAGAGCGCCTATTATTTACCTACTTGTTTATAGATCTATATTCTGTTATCTTGTCGAAACTATGATTACATATATAACTTTATATTTATCAATTATCAATTAATATTATCAATTAATATTATTAATATTATTATTATTATTATTATTATTATATCATATTATGCATTATGCAAAGAAATATTTACAGATAAAGATGGACAGTGCAGTTCTCAGGTGTGCACATTATTTTTATATAGTTATTTAATTAACACTTCTGTGTTTTATTTCTTCTATAATAGAAGATAATCATGATTCTACAAATTCATGCTATTAATTTCTTTATCAAAAAATGGAATTAACACTATATTTTATAATAGGGCACCATATATTTATTATATATGTGTATAAACAATAGTGCAATAGTAAAATTCAATTTTTATACACGATACCCGAGGAACGCACGATTTTTTTTTGTCCGTGATAATTACGGACCTCGATCACAACACACTCTTCACTGGAATGAGAAATATATCTTTTTTTTTGTTTTTTCTTGCCTTCTATTTCTTTAGGCCGCAGATTTAAAATCAACCTTTTTTTTATGAAAAATTATATTAGAACGATTCTCTCGATGGAAGCTTGAGATCTTTGTTTTTTTTCGATAAAATATACAATATTGTACTTTCTTTGATCGTACATTTTGGAATCTAGTACAGAATTTCAGAAAGAGAGATTTGACTGTACTAGAAAATATATATATAGTTTTTTTTTGAAAAGTCTAGGACTTTTGTAAATGGTATGGATTTCGTATAACACAATAATAATATATTATAATAATAAAAGAAGGGAATTAAAATAATTTAGATAAAGCTATAAATTGAATTAAAAGTTACGATCTCGGTGCTGGTTGATTGAAAAATGTTTTTTGGGTCGTTGATTGTTGTGATGAAGAAGGTGGTAAAGGTGGTGGAGGTGGCGGCGGTGGTGGCGTATTGAAAACCGGTGGTACGGGTAATGGAACAACGGGTATCGCGACTGGCATTGGAACGGGCATTGGAACTGGCGCTGGTACTGGCGTTGGTGTTCCCAATGGATAATTTTGTTGTGTCGCGACTGCTGTTATTATTTGCGGCACATATTGCGGTGGATATGGATTTGATCCCGGTGGTGCTTGTGGAATTAGAAATTGTTGTTGAGGTTGTTGTTGTTGTTGAGTTGTTGGTAATTGATTTGCATCAACTGGGAGACTCGTTGTTGGGACAACAATTGTTTGAGGTGGTGCGGTGAAATTTTGATATTGTATTGTCGACGGTTTCGTCGGAAATTGAGAATAGTGAATTGATGCCGAACCTGGTGGTGGAATATAGGGTTGAGGTGGTAATTGTTGAATTGGATATGAAGTCACATTTGTTGATACTGTCGTTGGATAGGGTTGCGTTGGCGGTGGCGGCGGTGGTTGTTCCTTTCTTGCCTTCAATATCGCTTCTGCATTCAAACCTGTTGGGAAAATTATCCGTTATTTTCTTATTTTTCTCTTTCTTTAATTGTTTTCTTTAATTATTGTTGAAATTAGTTATTATTTATTCATAGTCTATACCTTTCGGTTTTGGACGAATATTATTGAAATTAGTTTTTTAAATTAGTTTTAAAGGTTTTACTTGTATTGACAAAATTTAATTTTCCGTACCTTGCTTTCGTGCTCTTTCCTCCTCGTCGTCACTGAGAAAGAGACCAAATTCTCTTTTTAGCCTTTCGGTGAGATTTTCACGTTGTCGCTCGACCAAAGTGGGCGCAGCCGACCAACCAATCTTCCCCTCTTCAGTACCTGTCAATTCACTTTATATTCAATAGTCTAATTCGAATTTCGTTGAAATTTGTTAATGACGTTAAGATTCAATTACTAGACCCCTTTAAATATAAATAAACATACTACCAGGGCTCGAACTAGGTCCGTAAATCCTGTAAAGCTCAGTAAATTTACTTGATGTTCGTAAAAGTCAGTTTTTTTTTTAAAAAAAGGTCTGGTAAAGTCCGTAATTTGATTGAGAAAAGACGAAAAGTTGATAAATTTTACGATATAATTTGGAGAATTTTAGAGAAATTACAAACGATTGCAGAAATTCAATTATTTTCAAAAGTTAATAAAATTCTTCGCTGAAATTCAATTATGTTCCAAAATTTTTTTAAATTCTCGTCGAAATTTCAATTATCTTTAGAAATAAATAAATTCTTCTCCGAAATTCAATTATTTTCAAAAAATTTGATAAAATTTATTACTAAAATTTTTTAGGACAATTCAATTTTAAGAATTTTGCATTTATTTTATTAATTTGTTTTTCTATATTTAAATAATTAAATTCAAGTAGAATTTTCTAATAAAAATTGATATAGAAATGGATCTAAGTTAAAATTTTAGATTATAATCATTGAAAATCTGAATTTTTCATATTTTTAATTAACAATTCTGTGGAATTAATTTTTGTGAAAAAGTTTAATTGCGGACTTTTTTTGAAATTATTTCCAATTTTAAGTTTCTAATATATATTTAATTGAAAAATTTACGAATAATTGAAATTTTGTAAAACTGAATTGTAAACAAATGTATTAGAAAATTCTCGAAGAACTTTTTCAAGAATTATTAAAATTAATTGCATTTGTAGAATAATTTTAATAAAAACACGACAAAAAATTTAATTATGGAAAAGTTACAAATTATTGCACGATTTCAATTATTTTCATGAATTTTACATATTCTTCGCAAAAATTAAATATTGTTTAAAAATAATAAAATTCTTCTTAGGGATTCAATTATTTTTACAAATAATAAAAAACTCATTATTTTTACAAATAATAAAAAACTCATCGCAGAATTTCAATTATTTTTAATACAATTTTAATCGAATTTTTCGAAAAATGTAATTATTCTTAAAAATTCGTCGAAAGAAATTCAAATATTTAAAAATTTGTTGATAAAATCTTTATGGGAATTGAATTTTAAAAAACATTCAATTATTCAATAAACTATTTATTTTTGTATTTCAATAATTGAATTTCAGTAGAATTCTTCTAATAAATAAAAATGGATTTAAGTTAAAATTGTAGATAATAATTGAATATTAAAAGCAATTTAAATGAAAATAAAATCTGAATTAGTGAAAAGAAGAAAATGGTGTTAAATTATAATCGGAGAATTAAGTGATGAACGCACCTTTCTTCTCATCGCCGTCGGGATTCGTGAAGAGTGGCAGTGTAGATAAGCCGGGTAAATCAAGAGGTACCTTCGAACTTTCTTCATCGGAACTTAGAGATGAAGTTCCACTGCTCGCACTGTCGGATCTCCCCCGAGCAGTAACTTTATCCGAGGATGGATCATTCGATGATTCCGGTTCCGGTGGCGTGCCAGTTGATTGTTGCTTTCTTTTTCTGTACTCCGATATCGATAGCTAGAGAAAAAAAAATATTAAATCAATCACTAAATCGACAATCTAGAATTTAAAAGGTATCAACTTCAGATCTCCCATCAAGAAAATTTAATTATTTAATTTCATATTTCCTCTACGTTAAAAATTTCATTTTTTTCCATATCCAATGACGAAATAAAAAATTAAAAAAATGTTTTTTTTACATGAAAGCGATACCTTGTAAATAAGTAAAAAATCACAATCATGCTGATAAAAAAAACTACAATTTTTTAATGTTTAAAACTACATTTTTCTACCATAAGTCGAAAACATGCGTTTTTTTTTGTTGTACTTTGGAAAATTGAAACGTGCAAATGGAGAAATTAAAAAAAAAGAGAAACCTGGAGAAGTTGTGCTTTTTTTAACGAGACTCAGCCTCAAAACAAAATCACTACAATAATCCTACCATTCTAACCTTGCGCTTGACGGGAGTTTCCATTTTCGCAGAATCCTTGGGTCCACAGGTCCTTGGATCTTTCAGTCGTGGATCTTTTAGTCCAACTTCTCTGGGCGGTGAGGCAACTTTAATGGGTGTTGAAACTTGAGTTAAATTCTCTTGATTATCAATTGGAATCTCTTGATTAATTACTGTAGTTGTTACAACTAATGGTTCCGTCACTTGTATAATTTCCACCAACTTCTTCTCTTCCTTCTCCACCACCATCTCGATCTTCTCTTCTTCCACCATCTTCTCTTCTTCCACCATCTTCTCCTCTTCCTCCTCCTTCTCCTCTTCCTCGGGTTTCTCTTGATTAATTTCCAATATTGACGAAAATTCTTGTTGCACTTCAAATTTATCAACTTTCTCGATGATTTCCGTTTTTTCAGTATTAGCTACTACCTCTTCCATTGGTAGTACCTCCTCGTCAATTTGCGCTTCCAATAATTCCCGAAGTGCCGTTGATAACATTGATTTATCCTCGCCATTATTTACCAATTTCGCCTCCATTTCAATGGAAGATTCAATAATTGATGCTTCAATTTCTAAATGTGATTTTGGCATTGGCGTTGGTTCGGGTTTCTTGCGAATTCTCTCGCTCAATGGTAGCATTGACGGAAATACTTTTTGCGGCACCGCTTCCTCGACTTTTGGCAAATTCACCTCAATTTTTATTTCCTCCACTGGGGGTTCAGGTTTTTCAATTTCTCGCATTGGACTCGTCGTCGACGCTGCTTCTTTTATTTCCTTAGTCTCCTCGACGAATTCCTCCGTATTGCATTTTAATTCCAGTTCCTGAAAAACATGGAATTATTTTTCAATTTTTGTTTTTGATATAAAGTAAACAGGGCTCGAACCAGTGAAAGAATTTTTTAAAAATATGAGTATGAAAGGTAATTAAAATTTTAACGAGAATTTTTGTCAGTTTTTAACATAATTGGATTTCTGCGAAGAAATATAATACTTTTGAAAATAATTGAATTCTTGAGACGAATTTTATTAAAATTTCTTTTTAAATAATTGAATTCTTTTGGAAAATGGTATTAAAATAGTGGATATTAAAAATCATTGAATTAAGTAAAATTTTTTAATATAATAGAAATTTTGCCAAGAATTTAAAAATTTTTTAAAATAATTGACTTCGGAGAAGAATTTAATTATTTCTAAAAATAATTGAAATTTTTACGAGAATTTTTAAAATTAATGTTTGAATATAATTGAATTTCTGCGAAGAATTTTATTACTTTTGAAAATAATTGAATTTCTGTCATTATTTGTAATTTCTCTAAAATTCTCCAAATTATATCGTACAATTTACGAACCTAGTTCGAGCCCTGAGTAAAGGAAAACTTCAATTCCTTTTTATTTTCTTGAAATTCAATTTATTTAAATTAATTAGTTTAATTTAATTTAATTGAAATTTGATTTCGTTTAATTAAATTTAAATTTTATTTAATTTAATTAAATTTGAATTTGATTCAATTAAATAATTAATTTGCATTTATTCAAATTAAATCAAATTTAAATTAATTTTAATTAAATTAAATTTATTTCGTCTAATTAATTTGACTGAAATTATTATTGAATATTCACCTTGAAGGCTCGTTCCTCGACCGTTTCCTGAGGAGTTTGAAGAGTTTGAAGAGTTTCGACACTCTTAATGTCCTCAACATCTTTCTCCACCTCGGAATCAGAATCCTCCTTGGAACTATCCATGAGTCCCTCGAGTCCATCCATACTTTTGTCCTTCTCCGAAGAAGTGTCGACTTTCTCCTTATAATCATCGCCATCGTCGCCGGTAATTTTCTTCATTTGCGCCTCAACATCGAATTCATCAAAATCAAACTCAACGTCTGATTTATCGTCCATTTTCTCCACTTCGCACTTGCTCTCGACTTTTTGAATATTAGCATTAAATTCAAGACGCATATTGGCGACGCGTTGCTTCAAAATACCCTCGGAGGATTCTCTCATTGGCGAACTAAATGCATCCGTCTCATCATCATTTTGACACTCCATATCAACATCCAATTTATTGACAACACTCTCCTGTTGATTATTTTCACAATCATTTTTTTCAATTTCATTTAGAACATTATTCTCTTCATTTCTCTCATTATCCGATGTTTCACATTTCAATTCAAATGATTCGTCCTTACAATCAGAGATGTCCATTGGCGTTGACTCTGATTTACAACCATCTTCAACGTCCAATTTTTCCGGTTTCACAATAGTCTCCATAACGGACGTTGGAATTAATTCAAATTTCAATTTTTCCTCGAGATTCACTTCATTTTTTATTACTGTTGCTGGTAATATCGGTGACATTGAATTGTCAATTTTTAATTTACATTCCGGTTCGTAGGAAATTGTTTGTTGAGTTGTTGTTACTGCTACTGCTGCTGTTGTTGTTACAAAATCCTTTAGTGGTTCCGAATCATAATCTTGCGATATTCTCGATTCGTCCAATGTTGGCGAATTCAAACGATCAACAAACTCGTCCTGCAATATATTACAAGAGCTTAGTTTACTTATTTTTTTTTTTTTAATCTAATTAGTAGATTTGAAAAAAAATTCACGCATTAAAAAAAGGATAAAGACATAAGAATTTTTGGAATTAAAAGAGAAGAAAAGAAAGTGAAAAAAAGTGATAAAATTGCAAACGATTTTTGATTTTTTTTGTTAATCGGGTTCAACATTTATTAATCATGAGATCAAATCTTACAATACAACTCCCAGACCATTAATGTTTAGGTTGGCACAGGAAGTGACGCTCTGTTTCCATAGTAACAATTTTCAAAGAGGCGATGAGAGTTTAATGGCTAAGGTCTTTATGGATCCATGCATGCTTTATAAATTTACTCAATGCTTTCGAGTCTTAATATCTTTCTAAAATTGACATTTTTTTATTTAACTTTTTTTTTAAATTCATATCGAAGAATGATTAATAAATATTTTTTTCTTACTTTCGATCTAAAATTAATAGTCGCTTTTCTCTATCTTCAATATTGCTTTTAATTTCCTTAAAAAAATCTTTAATAAAAAATCTTAAAAAAAAAAGATTTAAAGATCTTAAAAACAATAAAGAAAAATGTGACGCACTCACAAAAAATTAGAAGCAGGCGAATTAGAGGTTATGTTTGCGTTCGATTTATCTTCATTAAGAGTTTATTTTTAATTATCTAAATTCAAAACTAGTTTTTATTGAATATTCGGATGTAAACAAGACATTAAACATCAATAATTTGCAATAGTAATTGATTATCTATTTGTAATTTTACTTCGAAAATGATGAACGTAACCTCAAATCTTTTGCTGTCTAGATAACTTTCTTGAAAGCGCGTGAATAATTTTTTAATTTCCCTCGAGTGACTAAAATTATCATGGAAAAAAATATAGAGTAACTATATTTTTTAGAAAATAAATAACTATTTACAAAGAAACACTTAAACTGTCAGGAACTTGTACGCATTTCTTTTCAATTATTTTTTAGAAATTTTTAAATAGAATTTAAATAAAATTTCAAATTTTAATAATTTTCTAGGAATAACTTCAATTTTAATTTTTTTTCTTCAAAATTTCAATTCTTTTATTTGAACTTGTAAAAATTCATACTATAACGTTTCAAATATTAAATTATTATCTAAAATTTTAACTGAAATTCATTTTTATATCAAAATTCTTATTAGATAGTCCTGCGAAAATTCAATTATTTAAATATAAAACTAAATAATTGATTATATTTTAAAATTAAAATTGTTTGGAAGAATTTTATTATATTTGAAAAAATTGAATTCTTTCGAAGAATTTTATTATTTGTTAAAATAATGGAATTGTTAGAAAAACATTTTATTACAATTTTTGAAAATAAATAAATTCTTATGAAGAATTTTATTAAAAGAAAAAAAATAATTAAATTATTTCAAATAAATTAATTGAAATTGTATTAAAAATAATTGAATCGTCTTCAAAAATATTTTATGAAAATTGTTTTTTTTATTATTTTTAAGAATCTTATTTAATCAATTTAGAAAACAATTTTCTATTTCAATTCAATTTATAGAAAATAATTGAATTCCTTTGAAGAATTTTACCATTTTGGAAAATAATTGAATCAAAATTTTGAAAAATATTTAAATTCCTGGAAAAATACAATTATTTATGAAAATAATTGAATCGAAATTTTTATAAATAATCAAATTCCTAGTAAAGAATTCAATTATTTATGAAAATAATTGAATCATTTTCAAAAATATTTTATTATCATTTTTTAAATTGTTTTTAAGAAGTTTATTAAAAATTTGGCAATAATTTTTTTATTTCAATTAGTAGCGAATTTAAGTCAATTTATTGAAAATAATAATTGAATTCCTCCGAAGAAATTTATTATTTATGAAAATAATTGATTTCTTGTTGAAAATTTTATTAAAATTTTTGAAAATAATTTAATTGTATAGTAAAAAATTAAAATTCTTTTACGAGTTTAGTTAACATTGTACTGAAAATAATTCAGTTCTTACAAAGAATTGAATCAAAATTATTAAAAATAATTACATTCCTGTGAAGAATTCGATTATTTTTGAAAATAATTGAATTCCTCCAAAGAATTTTATTAATTTTGAAAATAATTCAATTCTTACAAAGAAGTAAATTAACATTATTGAAAATATTAATAATAATTGAATTTTTGCAAAGATTTCTGTTATTTATGAAAATAATTGAATTCTTGTAAAGAATTTTTATATATTTAAAAATAATTGAATTCATTGTAAAGAATTTTATTGTTTTAGAAAATAATTTAATTGTTACGTAAATTTTTGTGAAAATTTAAAAAAATAATTTCATTCTTCCGAAGAATTTAATAATTTTTGAAAATAATTTCATTCCTCCAAAGAATTTTATTAATTTTGAAAATAATTCAATTCTTACAAAGAAGTAAATAAAAATTATTGAAAATATTAATAATAATTGAATTTTTGCAAAGATTTCTGTTATTTTTGAAAATAATTTAATTCATCCAAAGAATTTTTTTATCTATGAAAATAATTGAATTTTTGTGAAGAATTTTGTTATTTATAAAAATAATTTAATTTATTGTTAAAGATTTTTATATTATTTATAAAAATAATTTAATTCTCGCGAGGAATTTTATTAAAATTTTTGAAAATAATTATAATGATTCTATTACTCAGTCGCCAAATATTCGGAGTGATCGTTAACTTCAATTTTTAATTTTCTCAATTTCTTTGGAAAATAATAATTAATTAATTAGTTAATAAACCCTTTTTTGCGGGTAAAAATTTCTAATAGTACAAAAATCGTGAATTGCGAAATGCTCAAAAATTCGTGACAATTTAGTAAATTTCTAATTACTTTATTAATTTTTTCCGTGACTCAAACTAAGGTAGATTTGATGAAAGATAAATAAAATTGTCAAAAATTACTTACCTCGTGAGACATCGTCCTGACATGAACAGGTTCTGGCATCAATAGAGTCGGCGTCGTTGGTGGTGTATAATTATCAGACGACAAACTTTCCCTGGCGATTCGTCGTTTCTTCGGCGGTGCAACGACCATTTCACTAGGTGGACTCTCGGGTCGACTGTTCGGTGAGTCACACTCCTCGGAGATGGCTTGTCTCAACCATCGTTTCTTGGCCGAACCACTCGACACCGGACAAGTTTGTTGTTGCTGCTGTTGTTGTTGCTGTTGATTAATCGAAGTCAAGGACTGCCGTCTCTGCGGTGGTGATTCACAAATACCCGACACCGAATTCACAGCTTGAACCAATGTCGCCAAACCCTTGGCGGCGTAAGTCTGGGACAAGAATTCCGTCGATGGGTCAATTGGTGAGAGGAAATCGTTTGATTTCTCAATCACGAGGGGTTGTTGCGTCATCATATTTGTCCTCAAATCGGGAGACGCCACTTGCGGATGATGCACTGGTAGCGGATCTGGCGATTCCTTGAGCCACTCATTCATGAGAACTTTTTTCGTTTTTGGAAATTTGAAACCGGGCGCTAGTGGACCGACTGCAGCGGCCACTAGGAGACACGCCGAGGACAATGGCGTTGAAGGTGTGGAACTTTGAGAACTACTGCTCGCGCCACTGTCACACGTTGGACTCTTGATTGGTGTCGGTTGATTCAGAGGCGGTGAACTTGGACCTTGAACGTTGGAATTTGCCAGGGCGAGTAGTAAACCAGCGGCTGTTGAAATTCCCTGATTTCCTTGTTCGTTGTTGTCTTTTGTTGGTGTGTGAATGCGACTTGAATAGGGTGTGTCACGATTGAGACAATTTTGTTGCGATGAGAGGGGTGGCGATTGAATTGATGCACTCTCTTCGCCTGATGAGAGATCGGAATCGGCGGAATTTAAACGCGATCGACGATTACCACTTTGGGAGTGTGATGAACTTGTTGTTCGCGCTCGTCCCTTTCGTCGTTTTCGTCGCAGGGGTTTTTCAATTATTGATGAGGAGGATTTTATTTGCTTCGGTTGTGAAGCACTGGGATTCTCGTCATTGTCACTGTGCGTGCCACCTGATTCTTTACGTTGAGCATTTCGCGCTAGAACCTCTTGCTTTCGGGCCTGTGCCTTCTCCATTCTCTCGAAGGCTTTCATTATTGCCTCCATTTTTCGTTCTTCGCGGGTCAATTTTTTCTTATCCTTCTTCTCTTTTTCGGGAGTTGGCAATGTGGAGGAGGTGTTGATTGACGTGAGCGATGTTTGCGATAGCATTGACTCATCTTTGGCTGCTTGGCGAGTCGTTGTGCCGACGTTGCTGCTCGTTGAGGCGCTTCGTTTTGGCGCCGCTGGCGATACAATTGGTACCGGCGGCGTGGAAACTGGAGACGGAACTGTAGAAACTGTCGGTGGTGGTAAAACTGCAGGTTGTTGTTGTTGTTGTTGAAGCTGCTGCTGTTGCTGTTGTTGAATCTGTAGCTGCTGATGTTGTTGTTGCTGCTGTTGTTGTTGTATTACTGGTGGTGGTAGCGGTGGTTGTTGTTGTTGCTGCTGTTGTGGTTGTGGTACAATGCCAGACGTTACTGTTGGCACCGCTTCACTATCCTCACAAACAGTAGTTCGTCTTCCGCGTCTTCTCTTTTCCCTTCCACTTCTGTAATTTCAAAAGTTAATTAATAAATTAAATTAAACTTAATTTGAAAAATACCAAAAAAAAGGTTAATTTATTTAACAGTAAAAAAATCTGCTACTTTCATTGTAAAACCATTTTGCAAATATCTTCTAATTTTACAATATTTATCGACAAAAATTTAATTTTTCCCTGATTTCCAGGCATAATTTTGTTTTTTTTTTTTAGAGTTTTCGCTGATTTCCAAACATAATTTTGTTTTTCTTTGAGTTTTCCCTGATTTCAAAACATAATTTTGTTTTTCTTTTATTTTTCCTTCAATTCTTAAGGTTTTTTTTAACTTCTAGATCTAATTTTGTTTTTCTCTGACTTTTCTTTAATTTTCTGACATAATCTTGACTTTTTCCTGATTCTAGTAACTCTATAAAATATTAACAAATAATTTTATAAAAATATTGATTTTATAATCCTAAAAAAATTCTGATTTGCTCCAAAAATATTGAGATACACAAAAAAACACTTGTAATATATTTATTTGTGAATAACTTTTAAATATCGACAAATTTAATTATTTACCAAATTTTCAATTAAAATTCTTTAAAAAAAACTAAATTACTTTCAACATAATTTTATGAATTTCAACTATTTACAAATTTCTTAGTTATTTTCGAAATTTTAATTATCTTGAAAGAATAGAATTAAAATTCTCCAAAAAGCCTAAGTTTTCCAAAATTTTAAATACAATTCTCCGAAATTCCATTATTTTTCTTAGATTTTGACTTTTTTTAGAATGTTTTTTACCCTAAAAATAAATATTATGAATATATTCAATTTTGTTTCTTGATAAAATTCAATAATTTTAAAAAAATGAATTAAAATTCTCTCAAAATACGTAATTATTATATTTTTTTAAAGAATATTTTCCTCAAAAATTATAAACTACAAACTTTATTTATTAAATTATTTTTTTAAACAAAACATTTATTCCTTTCATTTTTTTCCACAATTTTTCAATATCTAAATAGCTTGAAACGTTCAAATGAAGGAAAATATTTTCAGTTAATTTGAATTTTTCTATAAAAATATACATAATTGAAATTGAGTAAGATTTTTTTTAATTGGATTTTTTAAAAGAATTTTTTGGAAAATATTAAAAAATAATGAAATTTTTCATAAATTTTAATGACAACAGTAAAAAAAGAGTTTTTTTTAAATTTTAATTTACTTTCTTTTTCAGATAATTAAATTTTTTGAAAAATTATAGTAGAGAATTCGAGGAATTAGTTTTTTGAAAAATATTGTAAAGTACTTATTCAACGTTAATTGAAATTCTCCTAAGAATTTTTTAGACATTTTAACAAAACAATGAATTGTTTTTGAAGAAATTTAATTAGAAATTTTTAAAAATAATAGTTTTCTCCAAAATTTTAATATCCAATAATTCTAAAAAATTAGATTTTTTAAAACATTTAAATGTAATTTTTTTTAAGGTTTTCAATTTTTTGAAACATGTTATAGAAAATAATTGAATTTAAAAAAAATTCTAAGAATTACTTTTTCAAAAAAATATTTAATATTTTTTTTTTAATCTAATTTTCATTATAATTTTCAATATAAAATTTTACAAAATTTGGACTATTTTTTAATAATATAGAAAGGGAAGTGGAAAAAGTCGCGTTTTTTGAAAATAAGTCGAAAAACTCATTCTATCCGGAGTCTGAGATGGTAAAAACATAATTATTTGGTTTTAATAAAATTTTTTCTGAAAATAGAAACAGATTTCTTAAATTTTAAAATTAATTTGTAAATTAAAACACCAATTTGGAAATTAAATTAAAAAACTAATTTGGAAATTAAATTTAAAAACTTATTTGGAAAGTAAATTGAAAATTTAAATTTCCATCATGTAAAAAAAAATTGAAAAGTAGAAAAGAAAATGTGAAAACTCACTCAGCATTCTCGGCGATAGCGCCATTGGTACTCTTCTTGGCAACCACCTGTGGTACAGCATTATTAATTTGACACTCTTTGGGATTATTGCACGCACAAATAATGGACATTAATTGTGAATTTGAATTTGGCGACAGCAGTAAATCATGTTGCTCGTGTCGAATTGTAATCTCAGCATTTTTCTCAATCGGCAATGTTGTAACGATATATAAATGCAATGTTCCTTTTTCTATACAATGTTTAACTTCAGCATTTGGTTTACAACTGCGTCGAACAAAACGTGCATCATTACCATATGTTCTTGTGTCAACGCAAACCTCCGTTCCATCGCGTGGTAAACGATAGAAAAATACAAATGGACCCGGTCGTTGTGCGTGCTGTCGACCTTGTGGATGCGATGATGGCCTATGCTGTGTACTCAACATATATTTCCCACGTAATTCAAGTACAGGTGTATTTGGCGGAAGATACATTGTCGCAACGAGGAACCTCAAACTATTACTGTGTACATTCAATCGACATTTTCCAGTTGCTGCAATATTAATATTACTCTGTCTGAGATCATTGTGAGTGCCATTAATTTTAATGCTGGATATTCGAGCTCGAAGTTCCGGACTATAATGATTTGTCACGGCCTCTTCGTATCTTTCGATCCATTGTCGTAATGGTGCCATATTTGAACCCCATGAGTCTTGAGCTTCTTCCTCCTTATCCTCGATGCTCATTCGACGTTTTGTTTTTCGTTTGCCTGGTACACGTTTTACTGTTTCCTTCTTTTGACGCACTGCACTCGGTTGTCTTGGATTTGTCTCTCGCCTTTGTCTCTTTACTGTATTGTTATTATTATTATTATTCAGCCTTCTAACTTGAGGGGGATCGGATTTTCGTCGCGGCGGCGGTGCATGCTGCTGCTGCTGTTGCTGTGGAAGAGAACGTTTTTTTGGATTTGGATTTGCATTTGCACCAACGTCAGTATCAACTGAAGTGGTTGATGATGAATCTGATGTCGTGTCAGAATTCAAGAGTTCCTCACGCTTTCGCATTTGAAGTGCACGCGCTCTTTGTCGATCGACACGACGCGGTCGACAAATTTCACAGAGATATTCATCGGGAATATTCGATCGATCAATACCCATGCAATCGACATGCTGCCAAACTAAGCACCGGTCGCAACATATCATATATCCATCGTCGTGCTCAAAATCACTGGAAGGAGAAAAAAAAACGTTTATAAGATTACTTTATGATTCAAATTATTCTATGAATAAAAATATTTTACGAATAAAATTATTCTATGAATAAAAATAATTCACGAATAAAATAATTCCATGGATAAAATTATTCTATGACTAAAATTATTTCTATGAATAAAATTATTCTATGAATAAAATTATTTCTATGGATAAAATTATTCTATGAATTAAATTATTTTGTGAATAAAATTATTCTGTGGATAAAAAAGAATTTTTTTTAGTAGTTAAAAATTTTGTTTGTGAATTTACCAAATGCAACGTGTAATGCTGTCTTCGTCGTCTCCTTCACCTTCGGGCGCAGTTTCTGTTTCTTCGCCTTCGGGTTCAGCTTCACGTCCTTGCTCACTGCTGATAGCACTCTGAGCATCGTCCTCAACAGTCGTTGTCTGTGTGGCTATATTAAAAGTAAAAATATTCTTTGTATTCCATTTTTTATTATGTAAAATATTATTAATTGAAAAGTAGTAAAAAAATATCTCAAAAAAGAAAAATAATCCTTGTATTCCACTTTTTTAATATCTGAAATATTATTAATAGAAAAAAAAATAATTCAAAAGAGAGAAATATTCTTTGAATACCATTTTTTAATATTTGAACTATTATTAATTGAAAGACAATAAAGAATAACAAAAAAGAATTCTAGACCTGTAGACTATAAAAATATATAGAAAATTGAAATTTTAAAGAGAGAAAAATTTTGAAACGAGAGGAAAAATTTAAACAAGTATTTTTTAATTACCTGGACCGTAAATGAAAGAATTTTGAGTAACAACTGCAGAGCTACTGGCTCCATTAACAGGTTGCTGCTTAGAATGTGGGGGCGGTGATGGGGGTGGTGGTGTTCTTGGTGGTGGAGCACCATAATTATGATCTTGCAGAACAAACTGCAAACACTGAAATTTAAATAGAAATTTCGGTGAGTATAAAAGTATATTTTCCAGAAATGTAAAATATATATACACAAAAAAAACCTCTCAATAATTTTACCTTAGAAACTATGGAATAAATTTAGTTCCTTCTAGATCAATTTACTATTAATTAAATTTAATTTAAATATATTTTTTTTAATAATTTAATTTTTAGAAGAATTGAAAATTGAATATTTTTTTCCTTCCACAAATATTTGTTAGAATTGAAAATAATTAAATTTCTAACTGAATTAAAAAAGAATCTGATCGTCAGTCAAAACAAAAGTTGGTCAAACGTCATAATTTCAAATTTCAAAAGAAATTAAGATTTTCGATAATTAAATTTAAAAATTTAATTTTAAACTCCTTTTGACAGAAGGGTAAAGAATTCAATTTTCAAACATTTTCAACAATTAAAAGTTGCATTTGAATAAAATACACATTTTTTGTCAATAAGAAAAATTTGTTAAATTTAAATTTTAAATTCAACAAATGATAAGTTTTGTTACCTAAATTTTTTATTATTGACAGAAAATTGTAATTTTTATTCAAATGTAATTTTAAATTGTTTCAAATGTTCAAAATTAAATTCTTTACGCTTTTACTAAAAGGAATTTAGAATTTAATTTTTTTTCTTTTATAAATCACGAAATTATGATATTGGACTAACTTTTGTTTGATTTTTTGTCGGATTTTTCTTTGAAGATGATTTAAGTAATTAATTAATTGAAAATAATGTAATTTTAATAATTGAAAATAATGTAATTTAAATAATTGAAAATAATTTAAAGTCTGGAGTAAATAAAGCACCACCTCGTAAGGTAACGGCATTCTTCTAGATGGAGACGAAGCTCGATTTTGAGAATCTTCTTCCTTCGGTGCAATAATCACAGCTTCATGTCTGCAAATAAAAATTTTTTTTAATATTTAGAAACTCAAGATTACATTTATTTTCATTTTATTTATTAATATTTATTACAATTATTCATTACGATTTGTGTGAATAATAATTTATAATTTAAATTTAAATTAAAGTTTCAATAAAATTAAATAAAATTAATTAAAGTTTTGATTGATTTTAATTTGAAATTTGAATCCAATAAATTTTGGTTAAATTGTAATTTTATAAAATTGAAATCGTAATAAAATTGAAATTAGAATAGAATTGAAATATAAATAGAATTTAAATTCGAATAGAATTGAAATTAAAAAAAGAATTTAAATTCATGTCAATTTTTTTTTGGTAATTTTTTTTCAAATGGAGTTGAAATTTAAACAGAATTTAAATTTAAATTCATTTAAATTTTTTTTGATAATTTTTCTATTTTTTCAAAATGGAAAAAATTAAAATTGGAATTTCAATTAAGTTGAAATTTTATTTAGATTTCAATTTTATTCGAAATTAAATTTTATTTAGCTTTCAATTCTATTCGAATTTCAATTGTATTCCGATTTCGATTATACAATTTAACCAAATTTTATACGAATAGAATTGAAATTTAAATAGAATTTAAATAAGAATAGAATTGAAATTAAAAAAGAATTTAAATTCATGTCAATTTTTTTTTGATAATTTTTCTATTTTTTTCAAATGGAGTTAAAATTTAAACAGAATTTAAATTTAAATTCATTTTTAATTTTTTTTTGATAATTTTTCTATTTTTTCAAATGGAGTTGAAATTTAAACAGAAATTTAAACATTTCAATTCAGTTTTCAATTCAATTGAAATTTTATTTAGATTTCAATTTTATTCGAAAATAAATTCTATTTAGCTTTCAATTCTATTCGAATTTCAATTCTATTTCGATTATACAATTTAACCAAATTTTATTCGAATAGAATTGAAATCTAAATAGAATATAAATACGAATAGAATTGTATTCTGAATAAAATTGTATTCTGAATAAAATTTTTTTTCAACATACCTGGAATTTCTAAATTTTTTCACCATTGTATTGTCAACTATTTTCGAAATATACTGCATACAAAAATTAATCGCGTCATGAAAAACTTGCGAAAGATAATCAATTGTCAAAATGGACGAAAGATAATAAAAAATAATCATAGAGAAATAATAAAAAAATATATCAGTAGAAAATTCGTACTTTTGTTTTCGTACAAAATAAAAAAAAAACAAATAATGCTTCTGTTAATTATTAATTAAATTAAAATAATTGATTTTGGGGATTCATAAAAAATTCTTACTTTATTTCCATATCCCTTCGTGCTTCTCCGGAACTAACAGGAAGCAAAGTTTTAACCTGACCAATTTGTTGTTTCGCTTGTTGGGGAAAATGCGTCGCGGCAACAATTGGCTTCTGTTGTATTGGCATTTGTTGCTGTTGCTGCATTAGTAGTTGTTGTTGTTGTTGTTGTACCTTCGGCGTTTGTCCCTTTTGCATCAACATACTCGGTCCACCCGGTTGTTGTGGCATTATCGTCTTAATCGTCGATTTCTGCACTAAATTCGGAACCAAATTCTGCTGCTGCTGTCCCTTCAATGCCGTCATATTTGTATTCATCGAAGTCTTCACCATTCCCTTCGTTGAATTATTCTTCGGTCCCGGTTTTTGCGCCGGTATTGTCTTAATGCATCCCGGTTGTTTCTGCGCATTTTGTGGGAAAATCACATTTTGCGCCTGTTGCACAACTTTCACCGGTTGACAATTCACATTTCGGGGGAATTGTGGCATGGAATTCTGTTGATTCGGCGCTTTTACAATGTTCGTCACTTTTGATGATGGTATTTTCATATTTCCATGGAGGTTTTGTTGGTTCTTTTGATTTGTCACTCGGAGAACCATTTGCTGTTGTTGTTGTTGCTGCTGCTGCTGGACTTTTAGATTTCCTTTGATCAGAGGTTGGTTATTGGGAACCGGCGTTATTGTCGCTCCTCCTTTCGGTAAGACTTGGTTCTTTTGGGTCGTTATTTGCTTCTGGAGCATTAATTGCTGTTGGGGGAATTGGTTTTGGGGGTTTTGTATTTGTTGAACTTGGTACAATTGGTTCGGTTGGTTCTGTAGTTGTTGATTTTGTCCGTGCTGACTTTGTAGTTGATTTTGTCCATGCTGATTCTGTATCTGATTCTGCATTTGTATCTGCTGATGAAGATTCGGATGGAGTAGCTGTTGCTGCAAATGCGAAGTCGGCTGTCCAGTGGATTGAACCCCACTTTTAGGGTTTGATGTCGTCGTTGTTGAATTTTGGACTTTCATTATATTCGGCACGCTGTTGCTTTTAGTGACCTGGCTTTGATTTCGGTTCGAGTTGACATTGACGACAGTTTGCGATTTGTGCAGATTGCCAAAAACCGTCGGCCTTTGTTGTTGTGTTTGCAACTTCTGATTTTGTTGGATAACCTGCTGCTGGCCTTGCGATTGTCCGACTTGTTTCTGCATTGTCAGGGATTTTTGAGCATTATTTGGAGCAGTCGGCGGTTGTTTGACTGCCGCTTTTGTCGGCGCTTGCACCTTGTGAACAACTTGCTGATTCTGCTGCTGTTGTAGCTGATTCTGCTGTTGTTGCAGCTGTTGTTGTTGTTGTAACTGCTGCTGTTGTAGCTGTAGTTGTTGCTGCTGCTGTAGTTGCTGCTGAGTTTTACCAGAAGGATTTAAATTATTAACAATCGGTGCCTTTTGATTGTTAAAATTCGCCGGCACTTTTTGAGCATTAGGTGCCTGGACTTTCGGCACTTGCACTCGCTGCATATTTGCGTTGTTCATTACTTGATTCATGGTAATTTGGGGATTTTGCGATTTTACCATTGTCGTCTGCATTCTAGTGATCGTATTTCGTTGAATTGGAGGATTTTGACAGACGTTGCTGATAATTTTGGGTTTATTCGCAATCTGTTGATTAATATTCGTTTGATTAATTTGTTGCTGCTGCTGTTGTAAATTCGATTGATTCTGATTGACAATTTGCCCCTTGCCTTGTATCCTCTGAATAGTCGATGTCGAATTATTCGTGACACTTTGAATTGGCGATTGAACGGTGATTTGTTGAATTTTTAATTGTCCGCCGGATTGAATTGGAGACGATTGTTTATTAATTGGTAATTCAGAGGTAACTTGAACTTTAATTGGCTGACCTGAATTTGACATTTGAATTGTTGGAGTGTTTGACGACGATGATGATTGTTGTTGTTTTTGTTGTTGGGAAGTGGCATTAAATGGAAGTGAGTGCAATTGATAATTGGACGTGACTTTTTGTGAGATGACACGCGTTGTTAGGACTTGCGTCGTATTTGTTTGTGAATTGATTTTTTGTATTTCTTTTGAATTTTTATTCATTGGATAGGTAACAGTAATAGGTTTCACAGCCGAAGAATTTGTTGTTGAAGAAGAAATTGAGACTACAGATGAATTGACGGACTTTAAATTCTGTACATTTTGTGTTTTGGCCCCAGCGATCACAGATTTTGGAAGAGATGTTTCGATTGTTAATGGGGTATTGTTAATATCTGTAGCTGACAATAGTGGATTATTATTCTCGACTTCTTCAGCATTATTTACAGAACCTAACTGTAATACAAAACTCATGGTGGCTTCTGCATTCGATTCCGTGTGATCAATTCTTTCGGATCCATTATTATCGCCACTGGAACGATTTGTTTCGGTTTGAATTGTTGGGGGAGGTGGACCTGGACCTGGGGATGATTTCTCCCCACCTCCTCCTGATCCTCCCCCAGATAACTTGATCACTGATGGAGTCGACGTTTTGAAGGCCTTACAGTTCCGTTGAATAAAAATTTCTTGTAAAACGTCTTTGCGATCCTTTTTCCTTTTATTCAAGTAATAACGCTAGACTCACGTTTTTTTCTCCTTCTTCTTCTTCGTTTTTGAATAAACTATTTGAGGATCCTGTACCATAAGCTGAAACAAAGAGAAAAATAATTCGTTAATTTTTCTTTTCTGGATTTTTTCGTTTCTTTCTTGCCTCGAAAATGTTAATTTTTTTTTAATTTCCTTTCTTTTAGTAAATGTTAAGGAGAGAGAGAAAGAGAGAGAAAAAGAGAGGGTAGGGAGAGAAAAGACGGAAGTACTCAAAAGGAATGGACCAACCACGAGCAACTTTCTCAAAGTCCATAATATCATACAATCGACTCTTACGCTCGTATATTACATTCGAGATTCTAATTACCACAATGGTCACGTAAGACTTTCTTTAAAACTATTCATGATTTAATTTTAATTCATAATTTAATTTCCTCTGTTTAAAAATCCAAACTTCTAAAATCGTATAGAAAAATTAAATTTCTTCAAAAAAAGAAATTGAACTCGAAAAAAAATTTAAAAAAAAACCTCTCACTAAACTAGAAAATCTCACTAGTTTTACAATCTCTCCTGAATTGCCTCAAATAACTCTCTCTTTCTCGTTTGTGAAAAAAGTTTCTTTACAAACGACTTAAAATTAAAAAAAAATACAATTTTTCGACAAAAAAAATAAATTTATAGTGTATAAAATTAGAATGAAAACAAAAATAAAAATTTCACAATTTTTTTCGGCAATAAAGAAATAATTTTCGCATAGCGTAAGATAAAATATATAATAATTTGAACGTCCCCATTATTTTTTTGTGTGTGCAATGATTTCATTGTGTTGTCAACCGAGTATCTTTTTAAAGTCTTTTAAAACTCCTCTCTCTTTATTTTCAACTTATATATATTAAAACAAACAAGAAGGTCGTTTCGCATTGTCACAAGAATTGCATAAAATAAAAACTTTCGAATCTCAACTCTTATTTATTGGCTCTATTAAAAGAATAATTGCAAATCGTTTTTAAACAAATTTCTCTATACTATTTCTGAATATTTCCAATTTCCCAATTATTATCAATTTTATAGTAAGAAATTAATTTTAAAAAATTAATTTTGAAAAATCAATTTTGAAAAATTAATTCAAAGAAATTAGTTCAAAATTAATTATTCAGAATTAATTATTCACTGACGCTCGTATATTTTTGTCTGAATAATCTCTCCTCTGAATTATTTCAATTTAGAAATTAATTCAAAAATCTCGTCTATTCGATTAAAATAGAAAATAAGACATCTGTATATTTCTATTTAAAGCAAAATCATTAAGTTTGTATATAAAACAAATCAATTAACGTGTAAGAAGAGTTAAAATCGTAGGATGTTAATGGAATACGAGCTTACGTGACGTTCCTAATTGGAACGACCTTCCGCTGATCACTAATTGACGCATGTTCAACAATGATTTTCATCATGTGTGTTTTATACAATCAACTTATTCGAAAGAAATTTTTTTCTCTCTTTCTTTTCTTAGCAATATTGTCTTAGTGTGATTATTTTTTTCGCAAATTATTTTCATTATTTTTCTTTTCAATTAAAAAAATCGTTGATAAGAAAATAAATATTTTTATAAAAATCTTTTAGTTATTAATAGTTTTTTTTCTAAGTGGTTGGAGAAAAAAAATCTTCAGCTCTAACGAGATTTAACGACAGATGATAAATCTTGGGTTATTTTTTCATTAATGTGTCTACACAGTTTGTATACGTAACAAAGTATTGTAATATACCTTGGCAGTGATTCTACCAACGGACTGTGCATCCAATTATTTTTCAATTGACCGTGGTTATGATTTCGTTTCGAGTAAATATTGTACTAAACGAATATTTTTTTAATTTGAAAATCGTCGTTATTTTGATAATTGAATAGAAATGAAGTAAATTAAATAGAAATTGAATCAAATTGACAAAATTAATTAATTAAATTTTTTAATTATTAGATTTACTTTTCTCGAAATTACATTTTAATAAAAAAAAACTTTTTTTTCTTTTTGCATTTTACGAATAATTTTCTATTCCTTAGCACGAATTTATTTTCTAATTACATTCTTGTTCTCTACTTAGTACATTTTAATCAATACAAGTAACCCACTTTGATAAATATTCATTTTGTTTCTTTTGCGAAAAAAAAGAAAATAGAATTTTTCGAAAACTGTTTCTAAAATCAAAATATATCATAGTTTATCGTCTTTTATCTCGGAGCTGGTTTACAAGTACCCCGAATGCAAGCGGGTGTTAAAAGGTCGTGAGTACCGGAAGTGAATATAAATGATGTTAAATTGTAACTGCAAAACAGCGTTGCCACACGTAATAAAAGAATAAAAAAAATTATAACAATGCACAATTTTTAAATATTTTTACGTATTAAATTTTCTTTCAAGTGTACGATAATAAGTTGATTGTGAATAAAACTTTTCTATTTTTTTCTTTTTTTATAATACTCAAGTTAGAGGACAATAAAATTTTATAAAACGCTTCGACCAGTTGTTTGTCAATAATTTTTATCAGTTAGTTATCGGAGTGTGAGAAAAAAAAAACTACGTAATATCTGAATTGTACCCTTATCTAAAATGATAATGAATATTGTTACACACCAATAATTAGTTTTTATCGAAACCGAAAAATCTCTCCGAGACAATTATTACAATTTTCAAATTTTCTTTAAAGAAAAAGATTTATTTTATTTGAGATAAATTTGAGCAATTTTATCTCAAAAATAAATTTTTCTTTTTCTTTTATGAATTTTACTTTTCATTGAAAATTAATCAAACTGTGAAATTAATTTTAATCAGTAAATAATAATTAATTGAATAAAATTAAATTTATATTAATTGAATAAATTTAAATTTATATTAAATTCAATTTAACTTCAATCAAATAATAATAATTAATTGAATAAAATTTAAATTCCCACTGTTTGATTTTTTAGGTGAAAATTTAAAATGAATTTTATTGAATAATATTAAAATATTAAATAATCGACGTTTAAATAATTGAATTACGATGATTACATTCGGGATTAAAATATATTCTCAGGTATAGTTGTTTCAATAGTTTTTGTAGTCTTTTCTTTTCGGCGAATCATATATGGATGTTTGCGATGGTCGAAGGGGATATTTAACTATGTGTCTCTCCTTTGGTGAACCAAACTAGTGAGTTGATGGAATTAACGAGCTTCCGAGAGTAAAGTGAGCAGAGCTCGTCACGGAAAGTCGTTGCCTTCGCTCCTCGCGGTCGATTCTGTTGGCAGCAATGGGATTTGCAGCGACCTACTTGGCGTACCTCGACCCTTACATTGATTCGTTGCAAACCAAAATTATTCTCGCAACGATTATCCTTCAATGTGTTTCTCTAAAGCAATTTTATTAAAATATTATTTTCACTTCAAAACTTGAGTAATATAATTTCATTAAATGCAATTTCAGAGAGAAAACCACTCGGTGACTTTCGTCATTTCTTGAGAAAAGAAAAATTTTTTTTAGAGCAAAATTTACTCAAAAACAGAATTTTCAAGTGATTTTTGGAAATTTTGTTTCTTTTTTTGAAATTATATTCTAATTTTTGTTCTATTTTATATTCTGTTTTTTGTTCTATTTTGTATTTTATTTTTTGTTCTATTTTTTCTATTTTGTTTTTTTTTATAAATTCTACTTTTGTTAATTTAAACAATTTTCCAAATTTTCTTCTCAAAAATTATTGTCTACTATTTTTAAAGACTTTCATCTCAGTTCAATATTATTCTCAAAGAATTTGCCAATCATTTAAAGAAAAATTAAATGATCGACAAATTGCAAAAATCGTTCTTTCGTCAGTTAAATGATGACAATTTCCATTTTTTTCAAAACAAAAGCAAAAATATCTGATTTCTTTTTCATTTTCTCATTGACTTATCCAAGCCAGATCAATATTTCATTGCAATTAAAAATAATTTTCCTTCAATTTTTCCACTCTAATTAAAAACGGTTTTTTTCTTTCAAAATAAAAAATACGAACAAAATATTTTTATTTTCAAATATTAAAAATGCGAATTAAACTTTTTCTTTACTTTTAAATATTATAAATACGAAATTTTTTGTCTACTTTTAAATATTAAAAATGCGAATTAAACTTTTTCTTTACTTTTAAATATTAAAAATACGAAATTTTTTGTCTACTTTTAAATATTAAAAATGCGAATTAAATTTTTTGTTTACTTTCAAATAAGTATCGAAAATGAGAACTAAATTTTTTTCTACATTTAAATTGAAAATTCTACATTTAGAAACTGGAATTAATTTTTAGTGACAGTAATAAAATTTAATTTGAGAACAAAATCAATAAATTTCGTTTATTTGAAACTTTCCGAACTTTGGAATGATAAATTCGACTATTGAAACGAAAATTACAATTAATTTCAACGAAATAATGAGTTTTTGTTTTGGAAAAAACAAAATTGTCCCAAATAAATAATTTAGCAAGCAACTGGAACGACCTGAGGTCGGAGAAATCAGTCGACAAAGTAGAATAGGGTGTGAAAGATCAGAAAGTGATCGACGTGAATTGCCAGTGTGTATTACTAAGGATTAATCGGTGTACAGTGTATAATGCCTAACATCACTCTATTCTATTCCAAGTTGAATTTTAAATGCACTCTCTCTCCCCTTTCTCTCTCTCTCTCTTTCCGTCTTTTAATAAAAATCTCTTTCTCTCTTTTAATACAAAACACATCTACATAAAAATTACATCTCACACTACTTTCGAGTTCTCTTGCAAAGGAAATTCATGCACTATTGCGAACCATATATACAAAGGCCTGATTGCTGGACACCCGGTGAAATATGCCAGTCGCCGCCAATAACCGGTATCACTACCCTCTCTTCACTTTTCAACTGTCTCTTCAGGAAAGAGAAACGAAAGATGCGAGCGAGAATGTGGATTTAGACTTATGGATATAGACTTAAAAGAAATAAAAGAAAAAAAATGAAAGAAAGAAAGAAAGAAAGAAAAAGGAAACAAAGAAGAAAAGAGAGACAGCTAATAGTCGAAGGGATCGAGAAAAGAAAGCAGAACAAAGTCGAAACACGTCCCTTTTTGAAAACAAAGCAAAAAAAGAAACAATTTAAACGAAACGGTAGCCAAACGAGTTCTAATCACCTAGTTTCAATATTTTCAAACCAAAAATATTTTCTTCACCAATATTATTACAAAAATAACGAGCCAAGTTTTATATTCAACTGCCAAAATTTTGCCAACAAGTATTTTTAATTCCTCACTTAATATTAGAAATGAATTACGTAATTTTGAGTGAACTGAATTCGTGAATAATTTCTAATCGAAATTTTAGAAATATGTTGACAAATTCACGAAACGAAATTGACAATTTTTATTCGGAAACAATATTTAAAAATTGTATTATTTTCAAAAAGAAAATTGCAGACAACATTCGAAATTCGGAAACAGTTCGTAAATATTTTTAATATTTCCGGATTGTTTGCGAATAAAAATTGTCGAATTAAAATAACGAAATTTATTAATAATGTTAATATTCTAACTAGACAATTTACTGTGAATAAATATTCTCGCTCTACGATTTACTGTAAATATTTTTATCTGCAATTTATTGTAAATGAATTGTAAATGAATTTACTGCAAATAAATATTCTCCTTATTGTAAATGAATATTTCTATCAACAATTTACTGTAAATAAATATTTTCCATTATACAGTAATTAAATATTTTAATCTGCAATTTACTGTAAATAAATATTTTTTTCAACAATATTTATTTTACGGTAAATGAACACTTTTATCTACAATAAATATTTTCACTAACAATTTAGTGTAAAATTTTATTTACAGCAGATAAATATTTTTTTTCTACAATTTATTTACAGTAAATGAAAATATTTTTAATCAACAATTTACTGTAAATAAACATTTTCATTTACAATTTACAGATAATAAACATCTTCATTTACAAATTAATAGTAAATAAATATTTTCATCTACAATTTATTCACAGTGAATAAATATTTTCGTCCACAAATTTTCTCACAGTGAATAAATATTTTCATCTACAATTTAATCTCGCAGTAAATAAATACTTTCGTCTAAATTTCAGTTTTCAAGAAATAAATATTTTCCCTGTTCTAAAATTTATTTACACAGTAAATAAACATTTTGCCCTGATCTACAATATTTATTTACACAGTAAATAAATATTTTTTTTTCAACGAAATAATTCAAGGATTTTAAAAAACGAAGAAGAGTTAAAAAAAAAATCTGTGAGAAAGTTAAATCGAGACAATTAAAAGAAAGAAAACAAAGCTGCCCTTCGCACTCTTGGCCTTCCCTATATAACTGCTCTGACCAACAGTTTTGCAATTCCCTTTTTGTACTTTCGCGACGGTCGATACACGTAAACGCTATACATTCGTTGTATACCTACGCGTTCCGTAAACTCCATCAAGATGGCCATCTTGTTCCGAGTTTCAACGAGAAATTATCCCTTGTTTTCTATTTATATAAAGACTTGAAAATTATTTTCATTTTTTCAGAAAATTATATCATTTTTATAAGAGAGAGAGAAAGAGAGAACAGTGAAGAAAAACAATTTCTTACTCCAATTGAAATATAGAATTATTATTTTCAATTAGAATTGTGGAAAAAGAAAAACCTTCCTTTTGTACTAATTTGGTAGAAGAATAAGAAGCTGGGGAAAAAAAATTGTCAACGATAAATATTCTATTTTTGTTCACGTTATTATTGGACGAGACACACATGTTAAACTATTACAAGAAATCAATATCTTCGATTTACAACTATAAACACACTCGTGTTGTTCTATTTTCAAATTGATTGCATATATCACAAGAGAAAATTAAGTTTCGAGAAAAGAAAATAATTTTCTTTTTATTCCATATTATTATTCAAATTCCTTATTATCGCTCTCATAAGATTGATTGCATCGGGTTTTTATTTGATTGAATCGAAGTTCTTGAGGAGAATTTTTTTTCTACAGAATTTTGAAAATTTTCGAAATATTTCTAAACGAATTTTACGTAAATTTTTACTTCTCGAGGAATGAAAAAATGGAGCCTTATTTTAATTACAGAAGAAAGGGAAAAATTCTTTCGAAAACTGGAAATTCTATTCGATTAGAAATTTGATTAGTTGTACAAGTGAAGAGATTTTTCTCCCTAAAAATATTTCTTTGAGAAAAAAATTCGCATTTAAATAGAGGAACTTAATTAACTCATTTTCTCTTTTTAGAGGAGAATTTATTTCGATTAATTTTCCCTATTTCAAGGGGAATTTAATTTAATTAACTAATTTTCCCTAGTAAAAGGAGAAATTAATTTAATTTATTAATTTTCCCTCGTAAAAAGATAATTTAATTAACTAATTTCTCCTAGTAGAAGAAATTAATTTAATTAATTTTCCCTAGTAAAAGGACAAATTAATTTAAATAATTAATTTCCCCTCGTAAAAGGAAAATTTAATTAATTAATTTCTTCTAGTAAAAGAAGAAATTAATTTAATTAATAATTAATTTTCCCATTGTGAAAGGAAAATTTAATTTAATTAATTAATTTTTCCTAGTAAAAGGAAAAATTTTTTTTAATTGATGAATTTTTCCCTATTTAAAGGAAAATTTGATTTAATTAACTAATTTTTCCCAGTAAAAGGAGAGAGTAATTTCATTCATAAATTTCTCCGACTACGAGGAGAATTTAATTAATTAAGCAATTAATTCATTTTCCCTGTTTAATGAGGAATTTTTTTCCAGAGGAAATATTTTCCACTCTTCTAACTTCTAAAAAGCAGAATTTAATTGAAATTTTCAGAGTTGTAGAATCGTTTTCATTTTATTGGCCCGCTGCCAAAATTATACGTTTCAAATGGAATTTGAAATCGCAACTTGATTAGAAAATAGAATTTTCCGAAAGACTGTTTCAATAGAAGTTTCTTTCGAAAAAAAAAATTTTTTACAGCAAAGTTTCTTTTTGCAGAAAAATTTGAAAAGAATTTGAAATCGCAACTTAATTAGAAAATAGAATTTTCCGAAAAACTGTTTCAATAGAAGTTTCTTTCTAGCAAAAAAAAATTTTTTACAGCAAAGTTTCTTTTTGCAGAAAAATTTCCTTTTGAAGAAAGATTTCTTTTTGCAGAAAACTATCTTTTTTGCAGTGAAATTTCTTTTTGCAAAAAACAATTTTAGTTTCTCGATCGAGAAAAGAATTGAAAAAAAAAACAATTTCCAACGACAGTGAGAGAAAAAAAAAACATTCCTAGACATCAAGACGACAAGATCCATAGAGAAAACTAATTGCATTTTGTGAGCTGAAATAAAACGTATCTATTTTCACGTAGGGCGTTCCACTCTTGAAAAAAATATAATCGTCTTTTCGATTCATGGAGTGTCGAGAATGGCGGTATCATATAACCCTGTTTGGATGGTTTTCGCGGGGGAGAAGAAGGAATGTGCCTTTGAGATGAGAAGAAGAAGAAGAAGAAGAAGTAGTAGTAGTAGTAGTAGTAGTAGAAGAAGAAGAAAAAGGATCAGAAGAAGAAGAAGTAGTAGAAGAAAAAAAAATCTGAAAAGGATGGGGAGTTCCAAGGAGTACCTATTGTCGACTGCCATTTACCTCCAAGGTTACCACAGGTATCGTTGTTTGCTTGATCTTCTGCGCAGCGCGTGCGCGAGCACTACTAACTGACTATCATGGGACCTCTCCACTGGTCACTGGACCAGATTTTCTTGCACATTGAGAATTGAGAGATGCTGAGATTGCTGAGAATCATTGCACGACTGATCCGGGTTCCTGCGTTCGCATTATCCGCGTTACCCATAACCAGCCATCGACAATCGGAGCGATGACACTTTAGTCTCCTTTATGGAATTGTTCTCACCTAAAACAGAATTTTAATTTTGGTATTTTTTCATCGAAACACACACACACAATTTTTTTTCTATTTCTACATTCGTACTTTTTCACATCAACAAAAAAAATCTATTTTCTTTTTGCTTGTTTTCCATTTAATCAAATCGTGACGGTTTTTTTTTTGCAAATTGTCACAATGAACGCAATAATCAAATTGTAACAAAAAAAGAATTCGTTGAACGAATTTTCAAGATCAAAAATTCGTTAATCAAATTGTAGGGAAAATAATTCGTTAATCGAATTGTAGGGAAAAAAATATTTACAATTTGTAAATTTTCTTCTTCTAGGAGAAAATTCTTCCATCAAATTGTAACCGAAATGATCGACAAATCAAATTGTAAAAAAAACTCGTTAATCAATTTGTAAGGAAAAAATCGTTTAATTGAATTTTAAGGGAAAAAAATCAATCAAATTTTAAGGGAAAAATCCATTAAAACTTGTTTTTTCAATTGTAAGAAAAGAAAAATTTTTCTGAAGCATTATTCTGTCCATGAAAATTCAATTCAAATTTTATGATAAAAACATTCAGGAATATTTTTCAAAATTAGAAATGATAATTTTCTTTCTAAACGTTTTTAAAGTACAATGGTGGTACCTGGACCAGTGCGTCATAAAAATAGGCGAGGTCGGACGATCAGTTGATGAATATGTAAATTTTGATCCCTCTACTTTAGTATTAAAAATTACGAGCGATCTATCAGTGGATCTAGAGGAATTTTCCTTTTATACCAAGGAACAATTTTCTTCTTTTCAAAAGCAATTTTCCATTATTTTTTGGGAATTCTCTTTTTAGGGACAATTTTCATTTATTTTCTAGAACAATTTTCCACTATTTTTAGGAATTTTCTTTTTAGGAACAATTTTCTTTTATTTTTTGGAGCAATTTTCCATTATGTTTAGGAATTTTCTTTTTCGTTTTTAAGAACAATTTTTTTTTCTTTCTCTTTGTTTCTTGCTCAAGAAACATTTAATGATTCTTAATCCAAAAAAAAAGAAAATCAAAAAAGGTTCAAAATATGTTTGCGAAAAAATAAAAAAAATATTTCGATTCGTTCTCTTGAAAGTTTTTATTTTTGCTTTTCTTTTCAAACTCGTGTTACCAGTATTTACGTGGCTATTTAATAATCATAAATTTTATCGATACATTTTTTGTATTGTGTAGATTATACAAGTCTCGTGACACAACTAAATAGCGTTTACACTCATTGGACATTTAATTTCTCTTATCCTTCTCTTTTTGCAATTCGATCATTAAACTTCGAACGTAAACGAATAAACATTTTAACGAATTGTAAAGAATTATAAATTTTTTTCTTTCTCTCTTCTTCGTTTTCTTCTTTTCTTTTCTTTTCTCTTCTCTTTCCTTCTTCTTTTCTTTCCATTCAACGCCAATTTTTCATATTTAGTTCAAGTACTCTTTTTCTCATTCAAAGGAAAAAATTCGAAAACCTTCAAGACAATTTCCGTTTAATTGTCTTGAAAAAAAGGTCTTAATAGCAATTTCAAAGACGAGTATTGCACTTAAATTCATTTCAAAATTAAAGCATCAACATATAGTGCCTGCGTGGTTCTATTTAAAACCATTACGCAATTATTTTACGACGCTTATCCTCAATCGAGCAAGTAACTCAACAATCCTGTAAATATGTGCACAAGACTGATTATTAAAAAAATTTCCATTCATCAAATCTTCCTCCCCAAACTTTTGGCTATTTTCTCTGACATTTTTCCTAGCAAAACAGCCTTTCGATACTTTTTTCTGATTTGAATTCTAAAAATTAATTTTTTCGCACAAAGAAAACTGAAAAGAAAGCGTAAAAAGCTTTTTTTCCCCTAAAAAACGGTAAATTCGAAAAAATTGAATGAAAATTGAAAAGAAAAGAAAAATACAGAGTGGAAAAATTAAGAAAATAGAAAATTAGGTAAATTAATTAGATAGTAAAATTGAGAAAAAGGAACCAGTTATCGAAACAGAAACAAAATGAAGAATTTTAATAAACTTGAAGAGAAATTTTTCCGCTGAAGAAAAGGGAGGAAGATGAAAGAAGAAAAAAAGAGATGTGACTTTATCAATTGCTGCTACCATCTATCGAGGTTGTTTTACAAACACAAAACATAGTTGGATTCAACCCCTAACAATGTCCCTCTTGCAACTTCATCTTGATTCCACCCTCCTTCGCCGTTTACCATCTCTATCAACAATTGTATGCGCACACTCAACCGTGAACCGGGTGGGGATTTCGTTGGGTCACGCATCGTCTATGTATTGTGTGTGACGTTGGAGGTGAGCGACCAATATTGCAATTGATCGATAGTGAAAGCACAATCATGGATGTGGTTTTTGCGGTGATTAACGCCTTTCACAAACTGCAAAATATCGCCATCAATTATTCCCAAAATTATCCAATTCACTGGAAGCAAATATATGATGATAAAAAACAAACAAAAAACAAACCAAAGAAAAATATAAAGAAGAAATTTGCCAAAGAAAAATATAAATAAGAAAACCAAAAGAAAAAATGCAAAATAAGAACTAAAAAAAAAATAAAAACAAATTTTCCCCCAAAAAGGGCAGTAAATTTTCGTCAGGGTAAAAATAGAGTTTAAATCATGAATTTCGAGATGAATTGTAGAAAAATTTCTTTGGCGAATTCTTTTTTTTTGAGAGTATTGAATATTTGACGAAAATTTTCTTCAATCGAGTAGATTATATATTAAGTGTCCACAATCTTTTGTATACATATCTGAAAAGCATATCCGTTTCATCGTCGTCTCTCTTTCTCTCTCTCGCCTGTGTATTATATATACAGCTCAGGGTCGTGTGAGAACTTCCCTTGCGGTCGATACGATTCACCTCACAACTGGCATCACCCACGTTCTCGCAGTCACGACCCACCCACGCGAATCGTAGACCTTCGTCCTTTTTCGAGTGCTCGACCCTTTTCTCTCTCATCTTTCATCTCAATTTTAAACAAGCGAACGATAGAGATTTCTCTAAAAAATTCCATTCATTTCCATTGAATTATTATATCGACAAAACACATCTCAATTTTTTTCTGAATTCGTGGACGAAAAATTCTGAAACATCTCAAGAGAATATCAGAGAACATAAAAATATTCCAACTGTAAAAAAAATTTCTATTCTCAATCAAAAAATTTTCTTTTTTCAATTCTTCGAATTTGAATACTTTCCCAAACTATTTGGATTTAATTCGATTTTGAAAATATAATTTTGGAAAAATTTTGAGGCTTTTTAGAATTAGGGAAAATATTTTCGCTTGCGAAAAATCACACATTTGTGACACAGGGTTTTTTTTGAAGAGAGGAAGAAAAAAAGAAGAAAGAAAGACAGAAGGGACAGATCAATACGAACTTTAGAGTTGGGGTAGGTTGGGAAACACCCACAGGGCTCTGCGCAATGTTACATCCTTGCCTACGTATTTGTGACGCAAAAGGGCTGATCGAGGAGGTGGGAGATAGAAAATACAGGTGGGAAACTATTTCGTATTGAACGGATAAGAGAAAACCATTGTTCAATAATTATCAGAACATTTCAAATCGTGCGAATACTTTTTCAATTCCTTTTTTTCCCTTTTTTCCATTTTCTGATGGTAAAAAAATTATTCGAAAAATTCCTCTCTCTCTCTCAATAATGAAGAAAAGAAGATAACAATTTACTTTCTAGTAGTTTTTCTAGTAGTTTCTTTTTTCCTTTTCTTTTTTTTTTAGAGAGAAAAATCTCTCGATTGCATTGGATTATAGAGTGAAACCTGCTTGCACGTTCTTCGGGAGTTGACCTGGAGGCAACAAGATGCGAAAGACTTGCTAGTAGAAGGTCGATGTACCATGTACCAACGATGCACCTAATGCGCAGAAAATACTGCCAACTCAAACGAAGAGAGAAGGGACGCTGATATATACAACACATGATGTACACTTCCGGCACTTCCGTCTATTGATGAACGAACAAGATAATCTCTCTCTCTCTCTCTTTCTTTTTCTTTCTATCATATTTCCCCTCTCCTAAAAGAAAATAATTTTTGAAAAATTGAAACATTTCGAAAATGCAAAAATGAGATAAAATAGATAAAATAGACAAAATAATGACAAAGTAATAATAATAAAAAAAAAATGATAGAAATAGAAAATAAAATAATATTACTATTAATGATGATAAAAATATTCACAAAAATGAATAGATTTCTTACCAGGTGAATTGCCGCCTCGAGAAAATATTACCAAAGTGAATGGAACAAGTAATTTCTATTATTAAACAAAATGGTGAAAATCCCCTTTCCATTTCTCGACATTTTTGTATCAAATTTTCAAAAAACAAAAATAATTATAGTCCTATAATTAAATTATATATTTTTATTAGAATTAGCTGACACGATGTGAAATTGGCAATGTGCCAAAATAGAAAGATCATAGAAATTTGGAGCAGGTCGAATATAGAATTTTTAGAATAAAAAAACAAGAATTTTATCCAATTGGTAAAAAATTCATCTCGCAAGGAAAAAAAAAATCAAAAAAAAAAAAAAAACTAGACAAAAGTAAATCAAAATTAGTCAAAAATTAAAGAAAAATTCTATAAAAAAAAAAAAATAAAAATTGGACAAAAACCAAAAATTAGAGAAAAAAGAAATAAATATTAATCGAAAATTAGACGAAAAATTAACTGAAATTAATTGAAAATTAGACAAAAAATGAATAAAAATTAATCGAAAATAGAAAAAGCATACCAAAAAATTAACAAAAATTAATTGAAAATTAGACAAAAAATAAACAAAAATTAGTCGAAAATGGGAAAAAATAAACAAAAATGAATATTGAAAATTACACAGAAAATAAACAAAAATAAGTTGAAAATTAGATTAAAAAATAAATAAAAATTGAACAAAATGTAAAAAAAGAATTGGACATAAAAAAAAACAAAAAAATAAACCGAAAATTAGAGAAAAAATAAGTAAATATTAACGTCGAAAATTAGACAAAAAATGAACAAAAATAATTCGAAAATTAGACAAAAATTAAACGAAAAAGATTCAAAGGCAATAAATAATAATTGAATACTCGGCAAAAACCTCCTTCCTGCATTTCCACGAATAATTAAATATTGCAACTAAAGCCTTTTCTTTACAATACATCAATTAATCCAAAGACCTGAATTCTTTTTCTAATAATCACCATCCTCAGCATAAATATATATCTATACAAAAAAAAAAAAAAAAAAGATAAGAATGAGAAAAAAAAATCGATAAATTTGAGAGAATGTTTTAAGCGCAGGTTGTTTGAAAACTTTTGCAAAAGAAGAAAAGAGAGAAAAAAAAGAAAAGAAACAGGACGGAGAGCAAAAGAGTTGGAGAGACGTATATGCAAGAATTTAGCATGGAAGTTGTACACAAAGAGTGAAGGAGAAAAAAAGAAAAGGACAGAGGAGAAATAACGACAGAGAAGACATAAAAGACGGGAGGATAGAGAGAAGAAGAAGAAGAAAAGAGATGGATTAAAACCGCGAACACAAGAAGGGGTTTGACGGGAGAAAAGGGGAAATGATTGCCGCTGAAAAGTGAATGGAGGTGGGGAGGGAAAAGGAACGACGACGACGACGACGGCGGCGGGTCACGGGAAAAGGGGAGAATTTCAAAATGGCCGCCACATGAAATGGCGAATTGAGCGCCTCCTGGTAGAATTTTTATATTCCCGCCGAACTATTATATATATATTATATATATTTTCTTGTCGTGTGTTCTCCAACTTTATTTAAAACTTTTTCTGTGAGGTTAGACAATAAATTCTTCACCGGCCGGTTGTCTTGACTAATCAATCGTAAATTTTTCAAATTTAAGAAGAAATCAACATCACTATTAAAGAAACTGTCACCATAACACGGAATCTTCCATTCTTTCAATCAAAAAAAATAAATAAATCTTGTTTTCAATTGAAACCCCTAAATAAAATCATAATTTAGAAATTAACGAAGAAATTTCAAATTGTAATTTGGGAATTACAATCACCGAATCCAATGCTCTCGACTGGAGGTCATAAAGTCACATAAACAGATACCTAAGTCTAAGAATATCTTCTGTTATTAAATCTACATCAGACAGACACTATGATTCGTTTGCCATTTAAAGTTTTTCACTAGCATAATCAATATTTATGAGGACAAAATAATTATAATAAATTTGCATTTTGGATGTTAAGTTTGACATTTGCAACCTTCTTGGCAAAGAAAATATCTATTTTCTTTATTAAAACACAATAATTCAATTTTAAAGGAAAACAAAATTAACTGTCAATTGTGACAGTTTTTCAATTTAAATTCAAAATTCATACAGGAGAGATAATTTTATTGAAAAAGTTTCGTAAAAATAAAGAAATAGTAGCAGAATTTTAGTAACAAAGCTCCAGTTAGAACAGGATTTGAATGTTAGTATAGTATAGTCTGGTGGGTATATGAAGTGGTTGACTTGCCCTCGCTCATTTTGCCATTGCTACCACCATGGTGGAAATGAAATTTGCAACAAACCGATTTTATTCCAATTTTCAACAACAAACACAAAATTTCACACTTCACTATTCGTACAACATTAAATTGCGCCTTATTTTCTCTATTTATTGTCACTTTAACCTTTTTTCCCCCCTTTTTTTTTTGGTTAGGTTATTGAGACAATTTTTCACCAAATAACCTAACTTCGTAGTTTATCAAAAATGCATTGTAAATTAACGAATTTTGCTGAATTTAACAAGAAAATTGATTGATTGTTATTAATATTTATCAATAAAGAGACCGCTATAAGTACGTAACAATTTGCATCATTACCGAAATCACATTTGATTATTCGGAAAGCAATATTGAACATGGAAAACAATCTTCTTTGAATAATAATCACAAGAGATGAAAATCCCTTTTTTGCATTCGTTAAATTTGCACTTTAAAGCGTCTCTTACCTTAATATGACAGGAATATAGAAGCTCGTTTCAAACTGAGATGTAAACACAAGCATTTTTTAACGAAACTGGTACCAGGGCAGCTTGAATAAACAACGCCAAAACACTTATTGCATCGCGGATGACGTTATTGCACTGTTTTTTATCAAATCACGTTATTTAATATCGCAATAATAATAAGAATTCGCGAGAACTTTGGAAAACATCCATCGAAAACTAAAGATGGCAGCCATTCTTCTCTACAAAACAAAGGTTCACATCCACGGACTCCAAGCAATGAAGCCTCGAACCCAGACGTTTTCCGGCGCTGTTAGTCCGGTGGGAAATTTAAAATGCATTTTTTCTTTTTACACTATTATGAAGATTTCATTAAATTCAAGTTGATTTTTTCAGAAAATTTTCTATATGCTTTCGAAAATAAGCATTCTTTTGTATTCCTATTGATATTTTTATTTCTTTCGTGTTGTTTTTTGAGGATATATTCAAATTAGGGGTTTATTAAAAATGTAGGATTTGAATATTTTGTCTACAGTTGCGCCACCTTACGCAATGGAGAGAAAATACAACTCGTTGCTAATTTCACGGTAAACTTAATAATCTTTATAAAAAAATTAAACGCAAAAAACTCCAGTAAGATGATTTATGATTTACAACTATTTTAAATTATGAAACTATGCTTATTGATTAACGGCTTATTTGAAATACGAAAATAGCCGAAAGAGATTATTATTTATCATTTTATGTTCACCCGATTGGTACATTGTGTTAATGTTGGTAGGGATGGAGAGTATTTGGAGAAACTTCAAGTGAAATAGAAACTTGAAGGGTTGTGTTTAGGTTATTGATTAAATGTTGTCATATATGTCTTTATAAATTCACATTCGAATTGTAATATTCACTGATTTTTTTAACAATCAAGTGAAAGGTAGAGTGGCCTATTTACAATGTCGGAAGTGATGTCTTGATTTTATTAATTTCGATTGTGATATTATAGAATTTATTTTGGAATTTATATACGAAAAATTAATAATAAATGAATAACATTTTGTCGAAAGTATGATTCTTGATAAAAATATTTAATAATCTAACAGGAAGAAAAAGAATTGTAATTTAAAAGATTAATTGACCAGAAATTACGTCATTTTGCGATTATAACCTATTATGCAAAATTTAATACATATTTAATACTTGAATATAAATTATAGTTAATAATTTTTAAATATTTTTTTTCCCCAGGAATGGAAGATTTAGATCCTCAATTAAAACGACTTTTACTTCCCGACGATGAAACAGTATTTGAACAATTTATAAGATATGGATTGTACGTAGCTGCTGTTTTTCAAATGATATGTTTAGCATCCTTAGTATTTTATACCTCGGGATCTTCTGATGGAGTGACTGCCTTAAAGGTAATTTCTTTTTTTTGACTCTTTTACCTGATAATTTTCTTGTTATTATATAGAGGATGATAAAATTATGACAAAATTATAAAGAAATTGCTGGAAAATAAGAAAAAAAATGTAATTAAAAAAATGAAGAAATAGAATTTAAGAAAAAGAGATTTATAAGAAAAATATTAATTTTCGATAGGATGATCCAAGTGATGTTGAATGTTCGGAAAATAGTCCGCAAGTTACACCCAGAAGGCCTCATCGACCAAGAAAACAGGAGAAAAAGAAAAGACGTTGAGATATTACTGTAGAATTTTGACAATAATTTCATTTAAATGTTAGTATCGTAAATTTTTCATTTTCATCATTGTACTATTTATTCCATTAATTATAAGACTGTTTCGACTACTGTTTTTAAATGCATTTACAAATAAATATTAATGCAAATTTTTTATAAAAATCAGTCGTATTTTTTTCGATTTTTCTTAAGTAAAAATATTAGTCACTTTCGTGTAAAAATACTTATAAATATAACAAAAAATCAGATTCGTAATTGTTAATAACAAAAAATATTTTACGCTATTTCATTATAAATAATTAAATAGGTATTAAAAATAGAAAAATCGATTCTTGTCCTAGTTACGAAATAATCCTTCAGATAGCGCTGTTTTTCACTATATATATATGTTTACAGGAGACGTCAACAATGGACCTAACCTCAAAGTGACAACATTGTGTGAGAATTTATCATCTTTTTTAAACTCGTTAATTATGAATTAAGTACGTCGTTAAATGTAAATTTGTGTTGCAAAAAAATTGAAAAAATATCAAATATGCCGCAATCTTCGGAGGAATTATTGTCACCACAAGATATTCTTGCTGATGTTCGAAGATTTATTTCCGGAGCAGCTAGACCGTCACATTCAACAAATACTTTAGAATTAACAAGAACTGGTTTATCTTTATTAAAAAATGTCCCGGCAGCAAGGGAAGCTGTTTTGGAATATTTATGTAATGTATTTTCCGTGGCGGTTAATAAACATGTCAGACAAATTGAGGTTAGTATGGAGTAAGATTTATTTTTTATTTTCTTTTCTGTCTTATTGTAAATGTATTTTATTTATTACTAAAAGAGTGATAGTAAAATTATTTCTATTAGGTTTCTATTATTATTTGTTCTTTTATTATTTATTGGGCTTCTACTATTATTTGTCTTTTTTTATTATTATGTTTTTATTATTATTATGTTTCTATTATATTATCTTTGTATTATTATTAGGTTTCTATTTTTATTAGTTTTTTTTTAATATTATTGGGTTTCTATTTTTATTAGTTGTTTGTATTATTATTAGGCTTATATTATTATTATTATTATTAGATTTTCAGTAATTTTCCAAATTATTCATTATTGTTAATTATTATTTTACAGAATAATCAATGCTTACCGATACCGGAGGAAAATACAATCGTGGAAATTCATACAGTTTTAAGCAGTTTTATTAGTACTAATCCCGAAGCCTGGGCTCCAATAATTTCAGCCTGGACCTTAGATTTATTAGGTAATTTTGCAAAATAATAGTTGAGAAGAATTTAAAAATTTTAATTGATTTTTGATTTGTATTTTTGTATTTTATTTATTTTAGTTTTCACCTGTATTGTATTTAACTTAATTTATTTAAATTTATTTTACTTTGTGTTTATATTGCATTTTTGGATTTTATTTAATTAATTTATTGTATTTATTTTTTATTCTTATTGTATTTTTGTATTCTATTTAAATTATTTGTATTTGTTTTATTTTTTGTTTCTACTGTATTTTTGTATTTTATTCTATTTCTGTATTTAATTTATTTTTCGTTTGTATTGTATTTCTGTATTTATTTTATTTTTCGTTTTTATTGCATTTTTGTATTTTATTTAATTCTTTTGTCTGTATTTAATTTTTTGTCTGTATTTTATTTTATGTTTATATTTTATGTTTTGTTTGTATTTTATTTTATGTTTGTATTTGATGTTTTGTTTGTATTTGATGTTTTGTTTGTATTTTACTTTTTATTGTATTTACAAAAAAGGAAAAATGAATAATAATTTGAAATTCCAGGTAAATTATCCTCGGACTATGCGAATCGTGGCAATTTAAAGGAGAAAACATCGGGTATCAATGACTTTTTGCATCAATGGATGTCTTGTAGAACGACGAGAACACTCATTGATATAACAGCACAATGCCTTCAGTGTCTTATGTTTTCGGACACGGAATCTTGCATTAATGCCTTACTTAATACGAGTGTTTTACACAGTCCGCATTTTGATTGGGTTGTTGCACATGTGGGAAGTTGTTTTCCCAATACAGTAATAACACGAGTTTTAACATGTGGTCTCAAAGATTTTTGCGCCAATGTCAACAATCCAAAATTAAATTCAGTCGTTGGAATTCTCGGTCATTTGGCTGGCAGTCATTTTTTGGATATACGAACGGCTCTTCTTGATTTATTCAAAGTAATTCTACGATTTCTATTAATTAATTTTATTTGTAATTTCTATTTTTTATTTCTGTTTCAATTTCTATTTTTGCTATAATTTTCTGTTTTCTTTTTTTTTTATTTAATTTCTATTCTCTATTTTTATTTCGAATTTTAATTTATAATTTTGTTTCGATTTCTATTTTCTAACTCTTCGTTTCATTTCTAATTTCTGTTTTTGTTGAAATTTCTATATTTTCTTTCTATTTCCTATTTCCTTTCTATATTCTATTTTGTTTCAATTTTTGCTTCAATTTCCATTTTATACTTTTTTTTAAATTCTAATTTCTGTTTTTGTTTTAATTTCTATTTTCTACTCTTCTATTCATTTCCAATTTCTTTTTTTGTTTTAATTTCTATATTCTACTCTTCTTTTCATTTATAATTTCTTTTTCTGTTGTAATTTCTGTATTTTCTTTTTGTTTAAATTTTTATTTTCTAGTTTTGTTTTAATTTTTACTTTCTATTCTTCTTTTAATTTCTATTTTAAATTTCTGATATATTTTCAGTTTTCCTTTTTTCTTTTAATTCCTATTTTCTATTTTTGTATCAATTTCTAATTTCTATTTTTGTTTTAATTTCTATTCTCTATTCTTGTTTGAAATATTACTCATCATTTTTGTTTCAATTCCTACTTTTATTTTTTGGATTTTTTATTTTTCTTTTTATTCTATTTTCCATTTTTGTTTTACTTTATATTTTCTATTCGTGTTTTATTTTCTATTAAAATTTTTCGTTTTAATTTTTATTTTCTTTTTTTGTTTTAATTTCTATATTTTTTTTTGTTTCAATTTTTATTTTCTAGTTTTGCTTCAATTTCTATTTTCTACTCTTCTTTTTATTTTTAATTTCTGTTTTTGTTTTAATTTTCATTTTCTAGTTTTGTTTTAATTTTTACTTTATATTCTTCTTTTAATTTCTAATTTTTGATACAATTTCAGTTTTCTTTTTTTGTTTTAATTCCTATTTTCTATTATTGTTTCAATTTTTATTTTCTAGTTTTGTTTCAATTTCCATTTTCTACTGTTTTTTTAATTTACAATTTATATTTTTGTTTTAATTTCTATTTTCTATTCTTGTTTGAAATATTACTCACCATTTTTGTTTTAATTCCTACTTTTCTTTTTTGGATTTTTTATTTTTCTTTTTATTCTATTTTCTATTCTTGCTTTAATTATTATTTTCTATTCGTGTTTTATTTTCTATTAAAAATTTTCGTTTTAATTTTTATTTTCTTTTTTTGTTTTAATTTCTATTTTCCATTTTTGTTTTACTTTATATTTTCTAGTTTTGCTTCAATTTCTATTTTCTACTCATCTTTTTATTTTTAATTTCTGTTTTCGTTTCAATTTCTATTTTTTCTTCTTGTTTCAATTGTTATATTCTGGTCTCGTTTTAATTACTACTTTCTACTCTTCTGTTAATTTCTAATTTCTATTCTTGTTTTAATGTATATGTGAATTTTGTAATTTTAATTCAATAAAACCTCTTTTTACAGTGGAGTCTGGACGAAAATGCAAATATGGACAGTGAATCGAGAATCCATAAGTTGGCGACAGTTCCTTTTCTCCTGAATTTAGCGAAACTCTCTCCAATGTTATTGAAGGCATTAACAACCGACGTGTTACAAATTTGTTCGTATAATTTATAATTCAATATCATTATTTTGAAATTATTCATTATTAAATTATCATTATTTTGAATAACTAGTGAATAATTTCTATTAGAAAATAGTTATTGTTAATTATTTCTCTCAGTAAATAATTTTAATTTTAACAAATTAGTGAATAATTTTCGTTAACGATTTCAATAAGTAAATAATTTATAAATTAATTTTCAGTGAGACCAGACGTGATTCCTCGTCTAGCATTATTTGCAAACGAATGGTGTCGATATTTCAGCAACAGTCCCGAAGTTTTAATAGACATAACAGTTGAATTAGCATTGGGCTGTGAACAAGGAGCTGTACAAATAATAAATATGTTACTTGACACAAGTTTAAATAATAGTAATGTCGGCTATCACAGTGTGAATGCAGCGCAAAGTGTCAAGAGTGTGTGTCGTGAAATTTTGGAATTAATCCTGGAGAAAATTGATTTTCGAATAAGATCCTTGAATCCAAATCAAGTTTACAATATTCCATTGTTAAATTCAATTAAACAAGATTTAACATCAGTGACACCACTTCTTTTACATTCGAATCCATTGAAAGTTCAAACAGCCGTTCGTTTATTGTCATTACTTGGGACACAGTGTCCTAATGTTTTAATATTGTCAGCTACATTTATGCTAAAACAGGCTGATACTAATTTCCATTTGGCAGCGCTTATTCGATTGATTTCAAATAATGCCGTTGGATTTGCTGCAAAAAAATCTGACGTTGAAAATACTCTTCTAAGTCATGGATATTTTACTCAAGTTCTCGAACATTCTATTCGGGAGATTCAATATACGAGCGGTGGCACGAGGGAAATTCAACAATTGTTCAAAAATTTGACTATTCTTTTGAGGTTTGTTGGGGATTTTTCAATTTTTAACTGTTAATATTTTGGTGGTTCAATTTTATAAAATATTAATTAAAATTAAATAAATAAAAGAAAAGAAAAGAAAGGAAAAGAACAGAAAAGAAAAAAAAGAAAGAAAAGAAAAGAAAAATTAAAATAGAAAATAAAAATGTAATGAATGAATAAAATATTTAATTCCCTTTTTTTCAGGTGGGAGAATTCGAATAAAGTTTCATGCCTACGATTTCGAATGATAACGAACGCATTAAGAGCGAATTTACAGCAAATTTCATCTCTTTTATTAAAAACGGACGATTTTTCACTGGCGAATGATATTGCTTGCATGTTAGATTGTTTAACTCCTTTTGAAAATGATCATTATCTTCCAAGCGTGGAATTGACGTTAAAGTTGACAAGAGCAATTATTCGCTATTTTTTCCTCTGTATTGCGGAAGACGGTAAGAAAAATTTTTTAAAAAAATGACCATTTTTCCTAAGCGAATTTTACAATTTTCGATTTTAACGAATTTATTTTTCTTTTAGATGTTATCATAAAGCAACGTGGTGTCAAAGTAGTTTGTCGTTTATTGAGACTCTTGACAAATTATTCAGCGTGTTCAAGAACTCTCGCACTTCGAGAATTATTGGCCTTCTCGCTATTTAATGGACCCGCAAAATATTTTGGAGCACGAGAAAAATTCGAATTTCGAGTCGAGGAGACTTTTCTTTTGCAGCAAAATCATAAACAGGTGTTGATTTTTTCATGAAAAAATTGAAAATTGCTAATGAATAATTTCAAGAAAAATAATTAAAAATACAAGAATTATTTAGAGAAAAGTCTAATTAAAAATAAAAGAATAATTTACAGAAAAATAAATTAAAATGCAAGAATAATTTAAAGAAAGATCGATTATTAATATAATTATAATTTAAATATTTTTGTTTTATTCCCAAGGGGACGAGCGCAATGTTAGCACAAAGACACTCCTCGGTATTTCACGCGGGCGTTATTGGACAAGGTCCAAGAAAACCTCCACCTGAAAATAATATCGATAAGGAAATTATTACATTAAACAGTACATTGCTTATGGATGTGATAAAGGTAATTTATTTCGTTAATAAATATTAAATAATTTTAATTGAATTAATAGTTTAATTAGATATTTAATTTTATGTGTTTATATAATAGTGATTTAATTTTCAGTTAAATTTTCCCCAAATTAATTTTGTTTCGATTTATTTCCTTCTAGGCATGTTGCAGTAATCACGATCCAAACAATAGAAGATATCCAGTTAATTCCGATACTTTAACAATGGTCAGTCTCTTATTAGTTGAATTAGTCTCTCCCGATGTGATGTACAATGGACTCCCTTGGCCTGACGAAGAATTTACCAAGGTGAGAATTAAAAAATGAATTAAAAAAAACAAAAACAAATTCACTTTTCAAATCACTCGATTTTTAAAAACTACAAGAATTAATTAATACAATTTGTGAATAATGAATAAGAATTTAATTATTAAACTAAATAAGGAACTGAATAATAAATAATGATTTTATCACACGGTCATGTTTTATAATAATAAATAATAATTTTGCTACTAAAAAATAAAAATAAATAACAGTATTTTTGCAAGAAAAATTTAGAAATTATATTATTTTCCATTATTTTACGTTAATAAGTAAATTTTTAAACATTTTAGAAGATAAATTTCTATTCCAATTGTTATAATTATTAAAACTTTTATAATTTTGAATCTGAAATAATTTAATTCTTTCGAAGAATTTAAAAAAAAAATTTTTAATTAATTGAACTCCTGTAAAAAAAATATTATCTATATGAAAATAAAATTGAATTCCTGACAAGAATTATATTAAAATTTCTGAAAATAATTTAATTGTTTTTAAAAATTTTATTTAAATCTTTGAAAAATAATTGAATTTTTTCGAAGAATTTTATTAAAAGTTGTAGAAAATAATTAAATTCTTCTAAGGAATTTAATTTCAATTATATTGAAAATAGTTGAATTCTTTTAAAAAAATTTGAAAATAATTGAATTCTTTTGAGAAATTTTATTAGAATTGTATTGAAAATAATTGAATGTTTGACAAGGATTTTATTAAATTTTTCGAAAGAAAATTTAATTCTTTCAATGAATTTAATTTTAATTGTTTTGAGAATAATTGAATTTTTATTCAGAACTTTATCCAAATTTTTGAAAATAATTGAATTCTTTCGAAAAATTTTATTAAAATTTTTTAAAATAATTGAATTTTTTCGAGAAATTTTATTTAAATTGTATTGAAAATAAAATAATTATAAATTAAATTTAATACTTATAAAATAAATTTAGTAAAGAAAAAATTATTTAATTAAATTAAAATCTAAACAATAAATTATTGCAGGTGACAGTGGAAAGAGATTTGCAAATTAGACGAACCTTCAAGGAAGTTCCCATTCTTTGGACTTTACTGGCACTAACCGCCTGGTATCGTCCTGCCTTGGCCTATTGTTCCGTATTACTTAGGGCAATTTCTGCAACGATAATTGCCAATTGGAATGCAGCAGAAGGTGCGTCATTATCAAACGTAATGGCACTTGGACAATTACTTCCTCCTCCGCTTGCCAGCATAAGAGACATTCTTCCAGTTCTCGAATCACAACAGGTGTGCAAAATTTACCAATAATCGAAAAATTAATAAAAAAAAATGGAATACAATTCTTGATAACAATTTTTATAAAATTAAATAGTTATTAATTATTAATTGTATTAACTAAATTAATTATTAATAGTTAATAGAGTTATTAATTGTATTAATTAAACAATTATAAATTATTATTATATTATTAGGTATTCTATAAAAAATGTATTTAATTGAAATTTTTGAATAATTTCAGATAAACACAATAATGCGAGAGTGCATCTGGGCGTACATGCACGAGAATGTTCCTTCACCGGCACTATTTACAAGATGCGAAGGTGCAACTGTTGCTTGGCGAGACCCAGACAGTTCGATACCCAGTATTCGTTACACCGAAACATTGCGATTAATTTTAATAGCAAATATCCATAAACTTGGCCCTCTTTACTCGACACTTTTCTACAATGAACACAAATAATTACCGACAATGAATAATTCTTTGATTTAAAATCAACTTATATCATTGTAATTTATAATTACACTGTAAAAAGACAATTAGCAATTAATATTTTTATATATATTAACATTAAATTTTTCCAAGCTCTTTATTCGAGTGAAAATTACTCTTTCTTCGTCAGTATACTTAAAATCCGTTCGAAGCATTAAATTCAATTTGTTTTGAAAGTTGAAGTATTTTTGAAATTACTTGAAAATTAATTAATTTACTTTAAAAATTAATTAATTATTTTAAAAATTAATTAATTATTTTAATTAATTTGCTTTAAAAATTCACTAATTACTTTAATTAATTAATTTACTAATTATTCAAAATCAACAATTTAAATTTCAGATTATAATTATTTACTAATTGTTTTTTTAAATTTTAATTTACATTTAATTTGATTAATTTAAAAAGTTAATTATTCAAAAAATTATCTTTAAAATCACTATCGAAAAATTCCGATATTTGCTAATATTTTTTCACTCCCGAGGTTTTATTTATAAAAAATAATACGAACTTTATCATAAAATAAACAATTTGTTCAACGCATTGCAAGTGCTGCATTTTCAAGTGAGTCAATATTTTTCCAATCACAATGGTTTTTTTTTGTAAATAAAATCAATCACGATTTATTTAAAAATTTATTTTCATATTTGTTTCAGAATGCTCTTGAACATCAATCCGCAAAAAGGACAAATTAAGACGGACAATGTAAAACAAGCACCACAGAAAAAAAAATCAAATGACGAAGACATCGTAAAATTAATAAATAAGTTTCTATCTAGAAATATTCATGTTTCTTTTTTTGTTGTCATAAAAAATGTTTTTTTTTTTTTTATTCAACAAAAATTGAATTTTCAATCATAATAATTAATAATATAATAGAAAATAATTCTTACGAAAACAAAATATATTGAAAAAAGAATTTTAACATTAAAAATAATTTCTAATTTTTAGATTGTCAGTTTTTTTTTAATAGAGAGGAAAGAAAAACTGACAAACTATTTGAAGAAATAATGTGAAAAATGTTCTTTTTTACAGTGAAGGTATTTTGTCTCTACAACTATATCTTAAAAATTCTCCATACATCAGCAACACTTACGTCGACACGCACACGGTATTGTTTTGCAAATATATATAATATTTATAAATTAATTAAATGCATTCGTCATTCATAAGTACTTTCGAAGAATTCAATCAAAAAAAAAAACAAACAAACAAAGATTTTTTTTATGCAAATTCCACGAAAAAATTATTTTATACACACTTTTTTTATTTTACAAGAGTCAAGTGATTATAAATATACGAAGATAAAGAAATCAAAAAATTTGAATTCATAATTATGAATTTTGAAATTAATTCATTAATTCACGTGATTTTGCTTTTCTCTATTTTTGTTCTGTACACACTGAAAAAATAGGAGGGTGACTTGTAAGGAAGACAACGAGAGTAGTTTGAAATTTTTATAAAAGCTGTTTTTTTTTCTTCTTCTCTCTCTCTTGATTACAAGAGATCTTAATTTAAATCTTAGAGTAAAATATTCTCACAATTTGCACAATATAATTTTTTTTCTCGTGTCGTGTGGTCGATGGGAATTTATCTTGAAAAAATTAATATAAAAAAGTTCAACGTCCACACGACTCGAGAGAATTGTATAATTAATTTACGCATTCAGTATTGTTAACAATAATAATACAGGAATGATGGTATGCGAGCGAACTGGATTAGTCAGTCGCTGAATAATTATTAACACCCCTTTTTAGGTGGGTTGCTCCTCGTCCTGTAAAAATTACATTGCGAGTATTGCCTAGTGTGATATTTTTCAAATCACGCGTACTCACTGAGTCTTTTTCTTCTTTTTCAAACACCCGATAAAATCGAGTTTTAAAAACGAAAAAACCAAGCATTCGAGGGCCACCACCTTAAAAATGAAATCTAGATAGAACTTTGTACTTTTTTCTCCGATGTTTTTTTTTTTAAGAGAAAAAGAAATCTATCGAAAAAGAAATTTCCTTTTAGATTTCATATTTGGAAAAAATAAATTAAATTCTATGTCTAGAGTTATTTTATAAAGACCCTCGTTTTTCCTGGCTCACAATTTGAAATCAAGAATCAGAACCACGCTGATACTTAATTCTTTTTTTTTATATATATATAATATGTATAATAAATATTATTCAGTTCTTGAGGGGGGAGGAGGGAGGGCATTGAAAAATTCACTTTTCAAGTCTACGAGCATTTTTGAATTTTTTTTTGCATGTTTTTTCTTTTTTAGAAGAGTAATGTACTCATTCCACCCATTTCACTTTGTTCCTTGACGAAAATCTCAAAGTACTGATAGATAATTGTGACGGCGAGTAAAATTCCCGTTCCGGAACCAATAGCACCGAGGAAATCGGCTAAAACTGAGAGAGCACCTATACAAAGACCGCCGAATGCCGCTGCCGTTGGGATATATCTGTTCAATTCGTGGATCAAGGACTTTTCTCGATGTCCCTGCATCACCATCTGTGAGTCCTTCAGTTGCTTGGCAACCTGTGGAAAAGAAAATGTAAGTTTCTGTAGATTCAATTTTCTTTCTTTTGCAATTTTTGGTAGAAATATTTATTTTAATATTGAAAGAAAAATAAGTGAAAAAAATTGAAAGAGAAATAAGTGAAAATATTGAAAGAGAAATAGAAAATATTGAAAGAGAATTAAGTGAAAATTCTGAAAGGGAAATAAGTGAAAATTCTAAAAAGGAAATAAGTGAAAATATTGAAATCGAATAAAAATTAGAAATCAAAATGAAAATTTGAAAAATAAAATACGTACGTCTTTAGCGGAACTTCCGGAAATTTCGATCCAACTCTTTGAGAAGAAGGCACAGGATCCAAGCATAAAGAGAATGTAGAGCATTGCGTGAACGGGATCCTGGAGAATATGACCAACTGATTCGGGTGGCGATAAATAGTAACATAAACCACCGACAGGATATGATCTCGCAGGACCGCCGCCGCTCACGTCCGACCAAACTCCCAATAAATTAACTATAAGATTCCCTTGGAATTTAACTGCCAGCATTTGTGAGATAACGTACAAATTTGAGACCAACGCCGATTGAAGGATAATTGGAATGTTGCTCGTGTAGAAAAGTTTTATCGGATAACTGCTTTGCTGTCCACGATAGCGAGCCGATTTGATTGGAAGATCCACCCTGAAGCCCTGATTGGAGAAAAAAAAATTGTTTGTTTAGTAAGTGTTTATTTAGTATTTTTTTGGAATTTAGAATTACTATTTACTAATTTTAATAGTACAGTTTTTAAAATATTTTTTTTCCATGAGTATTTCTGGAATTTTTGGCTAATTTTCAAATTCGAATACGAATTTAAATTGAAATTTCTAAATTTGAATTCAAATATCTAAATTTAAATTTGAATTGAAATATCTAAATTTGAAATCTAATTTCTAAATAAAAATATTCAAAAATGGCTTTTTAATAAATTTAGAGACTAGAAATTCGAATTCCTAGTTTCTAAATTAATTACAAAAAGCAATTTTTGAATTTGTTTATTTAGAAAAAAATTATAAATTAGAATTCTAAATTCGAAAATGAATTGAAATTTCCACTTTTTTAAATTTGAATTTGAATTCAAATTTCCAAATTAGAATTTAAATTTAAATTCAAATTTCTAAATTAGAATAAGAATTTGAATTCTACTTTCTAAATAATAAAATTCAAAAATTGCTTTTTTCTTAATTAATTTAGAGACTAGAAATTTGAATTCGAATTTCTAGTATCTAAATTAATTAGAAAAAGCAATTTTAGAATTTTTTTATTTAGAAAAAAATTAGAAATAAAAATTCGAAAATTAATTGAAATTTCTAAATTCGAATAAGAATTTGAATTCTAATTTTTAAATGAAACAATTTTTAAATTACTTTTTTAATTCATGTAGAAACTGGAAATTTGAATTCGAATTTGAATTGAAATATCTAATTTCTAAATTTGAATTAGAATTTGAATTGAAATTTCTAAATTTGAAATTAAAATTGAATTTGAATTGAAATGTCTAATTTCTAAATTTGAATGTGAAATGCAATTTTTAATTTCTAAATTTAAATTTGAATTCTAATTTTTAAATAAAAAAAGTTCAAAAATTGCTTTTTTAAATTAATTTAGAGACTAGAAATTTAAATTCGAATTTAGAAATTTGAATTCAAATTCGAATTTTGAGTTCCTAAATTAATTACAGAAAGCAGTTTTAGAATTTTTTTATTTAGAAAAAAATTAGAAATTAAAATTCGAATAAGAATTTGAATTCTAATTTTTAAATAAGAAAAATCCAAAAATTTTAAATAAAAAAAATTCAAAAATTGCCTTTGTAATTAATTTAGAGACTTAGAAATTTAAATTCGAGTTTAGAAATTTGATTGCAAATTTGAATTCAAATTCGAATTTTTAATTTCTAAATTAATTACAAAAAGCAATTTTAGAATTTTTTTATTTAGAAAAAAATTAGAAATTAAAATTCGAATAAAAATTTGAAATCTAAATAAAAAAATTGAAAAATTGCTTTTTTAATTAATTTAGAAACAGGAAATTTGAATTCAAATTCGAATTTCTAGTTTCTAAATTAATTACAAAAAGCAATTTTGGAATATTTTTAATTAGCAATTTTAATTCTAAGTCGAATTTGAATATAAATTTCTAAATTAGAATTTGAATTGAAATTTTTAATTTCTATATTTGAATTTGAATTGAAATTTCTAATTTTAAAATTCGAATTCAAATTTCCAGTTTCTAAATTAATTACAAAAGGCAAATAAAATTTCAATATTTAAAATTAAAATTTCAAATCGAAACAATAATTATAATTGAATTAAGTAGAATAATAATTTAAATAAGTAAAATAATAATGGATTAAAAATCATAATTGAAAAAAGTAAAATAATTAAAATAAGTAGAATAATAATTGAAAAAAGTTAAGTAATACTTCCTTCATGAGGAAGCAATAATTGAGGCCTTGGATCCAATAACTCGCCCGACGCTCGAAGGCACGCGCTAATACCAGTCGGGTAGCAGTGAGTGGCCCAGAGGCGCTCACTGCTCACTGACTGGCAGTTGCGCGTTCCTCCGAGCGTCGGGCGAGTTATTGGATCCAAGGCCTCAATTGAAGAAACTAAAATAATAATTGAAATTAGTAAAATAATTGAAATCAGCAAAATAAATAAAATAAAATTGAAAAATAAGTTAAAAGTAAGTTACACAGAGTAACAAAAAAATTTTCTTCATTAAAATTCATTAAAAATAATATAAAAAAGAAAATTGTCGGCAGAATCGTGAATTAAAGACATTAAATTATCGTGCTCTAACTATTATTTTCTGCCCGTCAATCTTCTTCCATTCGCAGCCAATCTCATTGCTTCTGTCAATGAAACGGTAAGAGTTTGGAAGATAGAAAAAGAATGTCACATCATTTACCTGGAAGTAAATTACTATAGCAAAGACGAGAATCGTAGCTAGAAGATTCATCAAATTTGGAAGATTCTGTCTGTAGAAGGCTTCACGAAGAGCTCGTACTTTATCCTGTCTTGTGGCCAAAAGATGGAACAATGCAATTACAGCTCCCTCGAATTCCGTTCCTCGGCCTAAATTAAAAATTCACGTATTAATTAAAAAAAACTTACAATTTTAAACTAACAATTATTTTGTCATAAAAAGTATTTAGGCGAAAAAAAATTTATTTAAATACGTACTTGAGTCTTTTACAAAAGTTTTTTTTGTAATTATTTTCACAAAATTTATTTTTCTAATTTTATTTATTAACTTATAATAATTTAAAATAAATTATTTTACTAATTTCAAAATAATTACCAAAAAAATCGACTTTAACAAACAGTAAATAATAATTAACTAAATTTTTGGCATTTTTCACTAAAATCGTCAAACAGGACATTTTTGTCCTGTTTAACGATATTTTTTTTAGAAAAAACTTTGTAAAAAATTAAATACAATTGAAATTAATTGATAGTTGTTAAAATAATTAAAAAAAATACCTGTATTGACAGTAGCGGGCGAGAATGCTTTCCAAACGATAGTTTCGCAAATATTGGTGGCAATAAATAGTGAAATTCCACTTCCAAGTCCATAACCCTTTTGCAATAATTCATCTAATAAGAGAACAATTAATCCAGCGACGAATAATTGAATAATAATTAGTAGACAAACACCAGCTCCAATTTCGGCAGGATCACCGTACATTCCAGTCATTACATAAACAATTGCTTGACCAACAGTAATGACCATACCAAATACTGCAAAAAATAACAAATTTCATTAATTTTCGAATTATTAAATAATTTTCAAAAAAAAAATATTTTTTTCCCTGCTATTTTCCACAAGAAAAAAATATTGAAAATACTCACATTTTTGAGCTCCATTAAAAAGGGCACGATCCTTAGCCGTATCACCCACTTCTATTATTTTTGCACCTGCCAACAGCTGCATAATCAATCCGGAAGTCACAATCGGAGAAATACCAAGTTCCATTAAGGTTCCTCTGTTTGAGGCGAGAATAACACGAATCCAGTAAAATGGATCCGCACTGTCTGATGACATTATTCCAAAAAGAGGAATCTGTAAATTATTATTTCCAATTATTATTTTTTTCCATTTTTTCTTTCTATTTTTAGTTGAAATTAACTAAATTTTGAAAACTATCGAAATCTAAGAATTATAAAATATAAACTAAAAGAATTAAATATGGAAGCATTTTTGAATTATGTAAAAAAGAAAATTTCGAAAAATAACGGGAAAAAATTCCTACCTGGCAGCAGACCAAGAAAATGAAAAGAGTAATTGCCGTCCATAATACTTTTTCCCTAAATTGGATCTGTAAGAAAAAGAAATAATCATCAATATGCATTTGACATATTTCATATGTCATTTGACCTCATTAGTCAAAAAAAACTACCACGTTGTCATTTTTTTCTCCCACACCGACGAAATCGTTGTAACACAAAATTTCGCCAATAAAAATATTTATCCAAATTTTAAATATTCTAACAAACGAGAATACGAAAGAAACGGTAAATTTATAAAATGAGGCCAGAAATAGACACGTTGAACAAACTTACCTTGCGTTGTGGCTTTCCAATTTCCGGCAATATGCTACAAAACGGTTTTATCACCTCCAGAAACTTGACTGAAATTGACGGAAAAAGAAAGAAAAGAATTAATTCTCAGTAAGATAGCATAATTATTTTGGAGTTACATTAATGTCAAGCTACGTGTAAAGTCAATATGTTAGTTTTTTTCCTTAAGTGTTGGAGTAAAAAGAGAGGTTACGGATAAATAGAAAAAAAAATGCAGTAAAAAAAAACCTGTTGAAAATTAAAATAATGAATTAGATTAATTAATGAGAGGAGAATAATTATTTAGCACTTACTCCCCATGATGAATTAATTTGTATGGTCTTTCTTGTAAGAGGAGTTAAATAACACAAACGAGTAGAGAAAACACAAGACACTAAATGAATAAACGGACTGTATGTATGATGCGTCGACCAAAGATAGCAAGCGTTTGGATGGCAAATAAGTGGAAATCGTGGCCCCTTACGCCGACACGTATCAATACAGTCACGTCACGTGACTTGATGATGTGGGCCCAGACAGTTTTTAGTTCGGCTTTCGAATCCAAGGGGACGTAGTATTGAATGCAATGCGCGCGCAACAAGAACACGTGTTTCATTTTTTTTCAAATTTTTACCGCGAAAATTCATTGGACAAGTTAGACACGTTTGAAAATTACCGCGCTTTGTGATTTGGTGTTTTCTGGTGATTTTTCACTATTCGATTCGATAATTTTATTATCACTTTTTTGAATTTTGACGCAATATTCTATGGGGTTTTCGGTATTCAAGGGTTCACCCGGGGTTAATGATGGTTAAATTTATCAATAAAGAATCTAGTCAATTACGACTAACTTGGTGTTCTCGGAGTTAATCCAGAGCGAACGCCGAAAAAATAGCCTTTAATTTATAAGTATGTTTGAAAATTACCGCCGTAACATTTAGTGCATTCTGGGGATTTTTATTCTCTTTTATCTGGACGAGTTTTTCGACTTCAGTGATTGGTCACTTTTGTTACTATATTAAACGTTACAGTGTGAAGTTGGTTGTTATAGTTGAAGGGTGAAAACGTGAAAAGGAAGAAAATTAGGGAAAATGTTGTTAAATTATTATGGGAAATTGAATATTAACAGTCATTGCAGTATTAAAAGTGTTCTTTTTGCTGCTTTTGATCAGTGGAACGTAAGTTATATACAAAACATTCGGTTTCTAATATACTTTCGAATATTTGATCTATTTGGCAAGAAACATAACCTCACTTTGTTCCTTGTCACATGTCACGCGCTCTTGTCATTCAAACTGTATTTTCTAAAATCCTTAAAGTACATTTTAATTCCATTCTTAAATTTAAAGAAAACGTTTTTTGTCCTTTTAACAATGATATTAGAAATAGTAAAGAAAAATTGAGTTTTGAAATACTTAATTGAAGCAATAAGAAATTCGATTTATTCTACAATTAGAACTGTCAATATTTTACTCATTTTTATTTTTTGCAAATTGTACAAAAAATATGAAGTAGGTATTTTCTGTTTTCGAAAATAAATCTATAAGAAATAAATGAAAGATTAAAATATTTATAAATACAGCTCAACAAGGTTTTGTGACAATGATTTAATTTTCTACAAGTTTACGATCTATTTTAGTACGTCGTAGCGTTAAACATTAAATGCTTTGCTTTCGAAACTAATTTTATTTTTCCTCCTAAACTATTGATTAGTGATTAAAAATTTAATTATTTCAGCAGACGACTAGGATTCATCCCAGATTCCTTACATGGACCATTTCTAATTCAAAACACACTAACATCGGATGACTAGCGGTGCATTTTTAATGGAATTTTAAAGAAAGTGTGACATTTACAAAAAATGTGAGTAACTATATAAAATTTAAATTTTTGGGTCATTTTTAAATAATCTTTCACTTGAGTTCCTAATTAAAATGAATTATAAAAGTTCGCTGACTTTATAATTTAATTAATTTATCTTCATTCTTAAATTTCATGTTATTTCATTGAATCTTGCGATGTTCGTCTAAATTCAATTATACAAGTGACAATTTTCAGTGATTTAAATTTCATAAGGTCTATATTCCTTTAATTTCATTCTCGTTTTGAGTGTGTAAAATTAAAGTAATTAACATAATTATTAAATTCTTATTTTATTCAAAATTTTCTCTTAGTTTATTATTTAATAATTCTTATATTTTACTTATAATCCTTATAATTTATAGAATTACGAACTATAGAAAGAGAATGAAAAAATTAATTTTTCTCAATTAGATTATTATTATTATTATTATTCGGAGAATCTTTATTTCCATGAGCATTTTAACAAAAAAGAAAATGCTTTTTTATATACCAGAAAAACTTATAGCAGTTTTTCTTGAAAACTTGGCACAATTTTCTTTCATGGTTTTATCTATTCAATTTTCGCAAAGTTGGCGTTGCGTCTTGCCAAGAAGCTTCGTAGGTGAAAACGTTTTGTCTTTTCTCACTTTTCATGGTTGAAAAGCGCGAGGAAAAAGAAATCGTTTTATCCAGGATGAGCACATGAAACTTTTTTCTTCCCTCTCTTTGCGCTCTCTCTCTCTCTCATTCTCTTTCTCCTTCTCTCTCTCTCTAAAAAATTATTTGTTTTATTTACCTAGTATTTAATTAATTTTTATTTATTTTCATTAAATCAAATTGAATGATAAACAAAACTAAATAAATAAATAAAAACTTGTAATTATTAAGTTTTACAGAAATATTCGAGAGGCAAAAATGAGGAATTTTGAAATTTTAGAGAAATATTGGAAAGGCAAAAAAAAAAGGAATTTTGAAATTGAATGTGTGTCATTAGAATATATACGAGTAAAACTTGAGAGAAGATATAATATATATATATAGAGCTGATAGAGGGAGAGAGAAGAGATAGATCACTCGGTTAAGGGAAGAGATCCTAATGATTTTGCACGTAAAGGAAGACTAGGTTTAGCAAACTATCTTAGTAATAGTTTAGGAGACAGTTTCGAAATCCACGAGATTTCGGAGTTAAACCAAAAAGGTTTGCGTCCCATTCCCTCCCCCCCATTTGGAATGAGGCAAACCACTGTTCCTTGCAGATCGAGTTTGCCTTAAGCTTCAATGAGATCAGCTGTCGACCTATGCTTCTCCTTGATATTGTTCTTATTACACATTTTCAGCAGCGAGACAATTTCTCCGCTATCTTGACTTTCATCATTTTTTCCCCTAATTTTTTTTCTTCTTTCTTCTTAATCGGAAAATAAAAGATCGAAAAGAAATTTCCATTCTCTTTTTTGAAATTTTACTAAATTATCATAAATTTGCAGAATTTTTTCTGGTACTTTTTTAATAAAATTTTACGGAATTTTCGAAATAGAAGGGAGCTGATTTATTGTAGAGAGATTCTTAATTATAAATTAAAGGGGAAAAAATAATTAAAATTGATTGGTGGGAAAAAGTTGAAAAGAATCATAACTGAATAAAATTGGAATAGAAAAAATTGATTACAATAAAGTGGTAGGGAATTAATTCGAAAAGAAAGGAAATTAATTAAGGAAACTGGTCAAAAATTAATTGTGAATAAATAAAATGGAATGAAAATGAATTAGAAAATAAATAAAAAATAAAGTATAATAATAAATAAAAAAAATGATTAAAGTAGCGAATTCATTTGTTTAATAATTTATTTTCGTTCCACTTTATTTATTGAATACGAAAGTAAATTAATAATAAATAAAATTAATGGAAAAAATTGTTCAAATAAACTAGTGGAAAAGAAAAAATTAATTTTAAATGTATAAAATAGAAAAAAATACGTCTGTGAAGTTCAGAAGGTTTATGATCAACGATTGAAAGAAAAAAAAAATATTTTTCTTGACGTTACCTAACAATAAAACGTTTTATTTACAAATTTCTTCTTTTTGAAATTATTGAGCAAAAAATTATCCAAAACATTTTTTATACAAAAATATATAGAAATGTAAATAGAAAAATATTTTTTTTTCTAAATCGTTGATTATAAACGATGTAAATTTTACCAAGTAAAAAAAAATGTAAATAAATAAATGAATAAAATAAGAAAATTAAATTAAAAAAGAATAAAATAAAATAAATAAATAAAGATAAATAATAATGTAATTAAATTAAAAATTATTAAAAAATCAATAAGGAAAAAAAGTAGTAAATAAATAAAATTGAAATGAAAAAGTTAATAGTAAATAAATAAAATAGAAACGAAAAAAATCCATTAAAATAAATTAGTAGTAAAAAAAATTAATTGTTAATAAATAAAATAGAAATAGAAAAAGTTAATTGAAATAAGTCAGCAGGAGAATAAACATTAATAGTAAATAAATAAAATAGAAACGGTAAAAGTTCATTAAAATAATTTAGTAGTAGAAAGAATTATTTGTTGATAAATAAAATAGAAATGGAAAAAATTTATTGAAATACATCAGCTGGAGAATAAAAATTAATCTAAATAAATAAGATAGAAAAAACATAAATTGAATAAGAAATTAATATAGAAATAGAAAAAAATGAAATCGGAATAAAATAGAAATAGGAAAAGGTTCGAAATGTAAAAAATAGAAAAAGATAAAAAATCAAATCGAAAAGATTAGAAATAGAAAAAATCCAATAGTACAAAAGAGAAACAAAAAATAAAGAAATTTAATCAAATAAAAATGAAAAAGAAAGAGTCTAAATAAATAAATAAATAAAGAAGCAAATAAAAAAATTAATAAAAAGAGTAGTATATAAATAAATTAATTAAGAAAAATAGTATTTAGTTAATAAATTAATAAAGAGAGTAGTAAATAAATTAATTTATCAAGAGCGTAATTAATAAATTAGTTGAAAAGAATAGTAAATAAATTAATTAATGAATAAAGAGCGTAGTTACTAAACAAATTAGTTAATAAAAAGAGTAGTAAATAAATAAAATAATTAGTAAAAATATTAGTAAATAAATAAATAAATAAATAAATAAATAATTAAATAAATAAAGAGAGTAGTTAATAAATAAATAAATTAATAAAGAGAGTAATTAATAAATAAATAAATTAATGAAAAGACTAGTAAATAAATTAATTAGTGAATAAAGAGCGTAGTTAATAAATAAATTAGTTAATGAAAAGACTACTAAATAAAAAAATTAGCCAATAAAAAGAGTAGTAAATAAATAAATAAATTAATAAAAAGACTAGTAAATAAATTAATTAATTAATAAAATAAAAAAAACCAAATATGAAGAAAACAAAATAAAAAACAACAGAAGAAAAAAAATTTGCCGCGACTAGAAAAAAAAATAATGGGAAAGCAATAAAAACAAAACGAAATTGAACTGACGTTGGGGAATATAATAGTGGAAAGTTTAGATATGGGCACAGAAAGTATGTTAAAAAAAAATTTTTTTTTTTATTTTATTTTTTTTTTTCACTTGATAGAGTTGTTGGAATATTGATGAGTTCGTCTGGAATGTAAATCCTTTTAGCTCGCACCTAAAGGTTTC